TCAGCAAGGCTGACACACCTTTCACATATAGCGCCTATCACATCAGGAAGACGTCACAAAGTGGTTCGCAGGACATACTGTAAAGTGCGGTGACTGTGTTTTGTGGGCAAACACAGCAGACGATTTGTGTATGCAATGTACCACCCACAAACAGTAGTATTAGTATTTCTTTGAAAATGAAATAACGATAGGCTTACAACAAATTCCCTCCAACTTCCCAATGACCAGTATTGTCTGCATCTGAGACAACAGAGTGAGCAGGTTGCTTCCAAGTCATTTTTGGCCAGTTTCCAAATAGATATGTGTGAACAACTTGATGGAGATTCCCAGCCAATATTTATATCCCCTGAGGGAAACAGCCTGCTGCCCTCTTAACACCTTTCTACCATGTTAAGGTTATGATCGGAACTACACTGGAGTGGGAGAATCAAAGCTATGCATCATCCTTCCATAGCATTACCATTGTGATACTCCAAAGCTTTTCAACAAAATAATTCCATAGGAATAGTGGAATTCTATTTAATTGATATCAACTGGCCCATTTTTTTGCTGTGCGGCGGGGTGTAAAGTTTAATCAAATTTGAAACACCGTACAATTTTTTTTTACAGCTTCACAGTTCAATGTGGAAATTCTTAAATTTTTTGTGTTTACAAACATGTCCAACAACTTCACTCCTTTTTCTCTACGACAGCCAAAATTCTCTTTAAAATAATCAGAGGCATAGACAATGAGGAGATAAACAGCCTATTTGACAGACCGTGGGAGCCGAATTTGAGGATGAGGGTAGGGCTAGTATTAGATACATGGTTAAATATATATTGAGATACACAAATACTCCACAGGAAAGAATAATTTTGTTGTACACTAGGATTGTGTCATGGAGATATAGCGACAGATGAATAATGTGGAATGTTTACTAAGTTAGATATGGATGTGTATTAGTAATGGTTAAAGGGAAGGAAGTAGTGGGTAGGCAAAGTCAAATGGGGAAAATTATTAATTGGGTACCTCAGAATTGCTTTGTGGAGGCAACAACAAGATGACATTTGTGTAGCGCCTTTCACGTCGGGAGGACATCCCAAGGCGCTGGACAGAGTACAGCATTTCAGGGTCGGGGGGGGGGGGGGGGGAGATGGCCGATGGCATGGTTGAAGAGGAGGGTCTTGAGGCGGGACTTGAAGGAGGCTAAGGAGGGGGCAAGGCGGAGTGACTGGGGGATGGAATTCCAGAGGTTGGAGGCAGAGTGGCTGAAGGCTCTCCTGCCAATGGTAGCTCATGTTCCTAAAGTATATAAAAAATAAAATATATAATCCTTGCATTTGATATAGCGCCTTATAACATCATCGAGATGTTTCAAAGTGCTTCACAGAATCCACTGCAAAGTGAATTGACTGTACACTCCAAGGGTGAAATGCGGGAGCCAACCGAAGCCACGAACAGGCGTTGACTGAGGAACCAAACTTATTATTTTTTTCTTTAGGGCATTATTACTCCCGGTAAACGATCCACCAACACGCGGGTTCCCACTTACTGCCAGGCAAACCGAGGCGTATGGAGGAAGGAAGTGGTGAGGATTCACACCCAGTACATGGTAGTTAAATTTGAGCTCTTCAGCCCATATAGTTTGATATATGACCTATATAGATATATACGTATGTTTAATGGGATGAAGCAAACTGAAACAATATTTTCAGATAAACCATTGCTAGAGGACAAAAGAACACCTGGTTCAGGTTTGTGAAGGGCAATTTCAAAACAGACATCAGGAAATATTTCTTACACGGGGGCAATCGATAGGTGGAACAAGTTACCAGAAAGAATGGTGAGGTCAGGATACTAGTCGTTTAAGAAATATTTTGGTGCTGCATTGGGCCAACATCCTAAAAATAAAAAATCAATTGAGACAAAGTGCCTTTTCAATCCGAACCTTGTGATTGCTCAACCTTCTTGAAAGTCTTTTTGAAAGTGGGCCCTTCCTTCAAAACAAAAAAGCTGCAATCAATACAGCCTGGCTTAGAAGGTAGCGCTCCCATGTCAGAAGATTGTGGATTCAAGTCCCACGTCAGGATTTTAATCTCAATTGACGCTCCAAGAGTGCCGGGCTGTGTACTCAGTTGCTGGAGTTGTTTTAATATCTATATGCTCCCCCTTGGTGACATCATCCACAGACATGGGGTCAACTTCCACATGTATGAGGATGACACCCAACTCTATCTTTCTGCTCCACCCTTAACTCCATTTGCACTCATCCAGGATTGATGTCCTGACAGACTGCCTGGCGGACATCAAGTCCTGGATGAGGGCAAATTTCCTACAGTTGAATGTGAACAAGACTGAGGCCCTCTTGATTGACTCGCGTCAGCGCCTCAGCACCTCCGGTTCTGACAACATCAACCTCCATGGTTGCACACTACAACTCACCAGCCAGTCAGGAACCTCGGTGTCTTGTTCGACCCTCAACTGTCTTTTCTCTCCCACATTCAAGCCATGACCCGCTCTGCCTTCCCTCACCTCTGTAACATCGCTCGACTCCGCCACTACCTCACCCCTCAGGTCGCTGAAACTCTTGTTCATGCCTTCATCACCTCCGGCTCGACTATGCAAACGCCCTGCGTGTCGGCCTTCCCAACTCCTCCCTCCACAGGCTGCAGATAATCCAGAACTCTGTAGCCCGTGTCCTCTCCCGCACCAAACTCCGTGATCCCATTTCCCACACTCTCGCCCGACTCCATTGGCTCCAATCCTTCAGGGGATCCAGTTCAAGATTCTGGTCCTCACATACAAAGCCCTCCATGGCCTCGCCCCACCCTACCTCTGCAACCTCCTAAACCCCTACCAACCCACCTGTTCCCTCCGCTCAGCCGGCTCTGGCTGCTCCACGTCCCCCGACCCACCCGCCCCACCATTGGCGGGAGAACCTTCATCCACTCTGCCCCCAATCTCTGGAATTCCATCCCCCAGTCACTCCGCTTCACACCTTCCTTCAAGTCCAGCCTCAAGACCCTCCTCTTCGACCATGCCATCGGCCACCCCCTTTCCCCTCCCCTCGCCCCCCAACTCCAACTCAGGTCTGAAATGCTGTACTCTGTCCAGCGCCTTGGGACATCCTCCCGACATGAAAGGCGCTATACAAATGTAATCTTGTTGTTTTTCTTTCAGAAGAGACCTTAAACTGAGATCCTAGTCACTCATTTCATTGCAGTTTCTGGGCTTTTTGGCTTGTGAAAATTGGTTGCTGCATTTGCCCACAAAATATAGTCACTGCACTTCCACAACAAAATCCTGCAGATATCCTTCCCACGTGAAAGGCACTGTTATATCAAATGCAAGGAATAATTTTTATTGCTGGTATATAGGTAGTTCGGGACATATGTGCATGCGACCATCAGGAAGGTGGAAGGCAAACTAGACGAACCTTGATGTATTTTTGTCCAGCATTTCTTATGTTCTTATTGTATTTCTCATGGTCCACTTATAAATACTGACTTATATTGAGCCTATATCATCTTAGATAGGACCTATAGTTCTGGGGCAATCATTATTAGTTACTATTAAATTTCTCACAATCCACTTGAAAATAATTATTGATAATAATAATCCTTGCATTTGGTATAGCACCTAATCATGTCATTGACACGTCTCAAAATGCTTCACAGAATATACTGTAAAGTGGATCGACTGTGTATTTTGTAGGGAAAACCCAGCAACCAGTTTGCGCACAGCGGTGTCCCACAAACAGTCATGGAAGTGAGTGACCAATTTTATTGTGTGTGGTGGGGGGGTGAGATTGTTGGCCAGGACACCGGGAAAGAGAAACTCCCTTCTCTTTTCCGACAGCCCCACTGTACCTTTAACATCCACCCGGGACCTCGGTTTAAACGTCTCACCTGAAGGATGGCAAATCCGACAACGCAACACCCCCCGCACACCCCCCCCCCCGCCCGCCGCCCGCCCCCCGGGGTGGCACTGGAGTGTCAGCCCGGACCACGTGACTCCAAATCCCCCACACGTGCGGCACAACGTTCTCCTGTTTGTGCCTCGTCCCCTCCGCTCCGCCAGCGGTGGCCGTGCCTTCCGCCATTACGCCCCGAAACTCTGGAACTCCCTCCCTCTCCCCCCCCCCACCTTCAAATCCCGCCTGAAGACCACCCCCCTGCCCTCCCGGTTCAGGGTCAGACTTCACCACCGGGGTCAAGCGCTCAGGGACGCTTCCGCGCGGTGAAAGGTGCTATATAAATGCAAATTGTTGTTCTGATTGGGGGGGGGAGGAGAGAGGGGGAGAGAGAGAGCCACCACTGCGCCAGACTGACACAGGTATTTGGACTTACTTTGAACGTGGGCCGCGGTATAAGGAGCCGAGGAGGAGGGCAGAGGCTGAGGCCGGGGGGGGGGGGAGGCTGAGTCCGGGGGGGGGGGGGAGAGGCTGAGGCTGGGGGGGGAGAGGCTGAGGCTGGGGGGGGGAGAGGCTGGGGGGAGAGGCTGAGGCCGGGGGGGGGGGGGAGAGGCCGGGGGGGGGGAGAGGCCGGGGGGAGAGGCTGAGGCCGGGGGGAGAGGCTGAGGCCGGGGGGGGGGGGAGAGGCTGAGGGGGGGGGGGGAGAGGCTGAGGCCGGGGGGGGGGAGAGGCTGAGGGGGGGGGGGGGAGAGGCTGGGGGGGGGGGGGGGGGGGGGGGAGGCTGGGGGGGGAGAGGCTGACGGGGAGAGGCTGAGGGGGGGGGGGAGAGGCCGGGGGGGGGGGGGGGAGAGGCTGAGGCCGAGGCTGAGGCCGGGGGGGGGGGGGGGGAGTACGGGGTCTCTGCTCTCCGCTGCCAGGGGACCGTTTTAGAACGCGAGCGGCAATTCAAAACCCAACCGAAAAAGCTCGCGCTCCACGGGCCCACGTGAGTCTGCATCGGGTGAGAGGTCAACGCGCAGGCGCGGTCCCTCCCCTCAGCTCCATCAACCCACCCCCCCCCCTCCCCTCCCACACTCACTCCCTCGCGCTCCTCCTCCTCCTCCTCCCGTACAAGTAAGTAACTATGGCCTCATTTGCTCGTCTGGGCCGTCGGCGTGTGGTCGACGAAGATGAGAGACTGGCGAGTCGGAGGCCGGCGCGTGATTTGTTGGGCAGCGTCGGTGAGTCCGTTGGTGCGCGCGCGCGCGCGCGTGTGTGAGTGTGCGCCCGCCCGCCTTTATTCCTGCGGGGATGGTAGTGTCGGTGGTGAAGGAGCGACACAAAAGAGAGCAGCGGCTGCGGCGCGAGGCCCGGTACTCGGGCGGCTCTGCCCGTGTGTATTTTGGAGGTTACGGACTGTTTACAACCAATTGCCCGTAGAAACGGATGTGGGGGGGACAGAGAGAGGGAGGGAGGGAGGGAGACGTACGTGCAGCACCGCCCCTGGTTACAACCTTTTATTAAAATGTATGACTGAGGCGGCGAACCGACCGACCGACTGACTACCAACTGCGCGTCTCTCTGGATACCGTTTCTGTTGCTATGGGGCAGCAGCGTCGGTGAAGCGGAACCGAAATGCGCGGCTCTGTGGGACTGCGTTCATCTCTCGCTGTGTCTGTGCGTATTACCCCCTCAAAAAGCCCTTCGTGTGTTTTTTTTCTTGTTGTTGTTGTTGTTGTTGTGCGTCCCTCCAAGATTAATGATCGTCGGCGCAGCTCTGTAATATTTTGTACACATATATTATTTTTTTATATATATATATATCGTAAAAGCTTCTCCGAAGTGATCTGTCTTAGAATAACGTGATGCTCAAGTGAGTACTTTCGCAATGGCAAATCAGGTGTCAAGTCCGCCGGACTCATCCTTTCGCCCACAAAATATACGGTCAATTCACTTAGTAGTAGATTATTTGAAGCGCTTTGAGACGTCCAGAAGACGCGCTAAGGCCCTATATCAAATGCAAGGATTATTATCGTTTGGGAGTGTTCTTGTCTCTGAGTCGGGAGGTTGTGGGTTTAACAACAGCATCAGAATTACATTTGTGTAGTGCCTTTCACGTCGGGGAGGACGTCCCAAGGTGCTGGACAATCAGTGTTTCTGACCCACTTTAAGATCCACTTCGTGACTTTGAATTCAGATTGAATTGTCTGTCAAATTTGCCTTCCTCTGGAAAAGACATTAAACTGAGCTCCTATCCACTTGTCCCCTTTAGGTGGACATAAATTAAAGTTCCCACGGCACTATTCCAAAAGAGAAGTTGTTTTTTCCCGATCAATGATAATTACAGTTGAAGTGCTTTGAACCATTTTGAACTGTGAAACACAAGGGTCTTCTTTCATTCTAGAAAGTGGGCACATCAAGTGAGAAGAGGACCAAGCTTTGCTACAATCCACCCCATGGTCCAATAATCTGGAATCTGATATCACATGAAGAATGGCTACTTGAGTGAGGTATTGTGCTTTTCTGGTCTACTCTGGGACACTACCCTGCATGAGGGGTGCTATTATAAATGCAAGTTGTTGTTGAGGAAGGTTCACATTAACCAGAAGTAATGTAACTTTGATCTCTTTCTAAAATATAACTTTTGTTAAACCCTAATGATTCTGTAGTCTATTATGGCACTTTTTGACACTGTTTGTTATCTGCAGTATAAGCTGCAAGTGTAAGTTGTGTAAAGATATTAAATTTGAAATTGCATGAGAAATATTTTGAATAAAGCAGTGCATGTATTTTACAAACTTTGGAAATTATTTTCCCTCTTCCCTGCCCTTTATACAACTCGATCTCAATCTGTTCCGCAGGCTGGACTTGACTGTTGTAGTGCTGACGATGTAGGAATTGTGTGAAATCAGGATGGGTCCAGATGTCCCATTGCTGAATGACTACAAACAAGAATTCTTTTGGAAGCGCTTTCCACAGACCGTACTTGGAGGACCCCGGTTAAAGCTAGGATTCTGTGCTCCACCTTATGTCTACATTAACCAGATTATCTTATTCCTGATACCATGGATTTTCGGCGGTGTAGCAACTATCCTTTACCAGCTGAATACACTAGAAGATTTTCACGCAGCCATCCTTGCTGCAGGGTTAATGCTGCTAGCAGCCTTTATTGTTCAAGGCATGAACCTGTGTGCCAGAAGAAAGACTGTAGCTGTCAAAACATTTCAGTTTCAAAATACTTTGGCAGATGAGGATGAATTGGAGTTTTCCAGCTGTATTGGATCAGAGACAATAAAATTCATTATTCCTGGCAAAAAATATTTAATCAATACATTCTTTCACTCCATTCTTGCTGGAGTACTATGTGGCCTTGGTACATGGTATTTGCTGCCCAACAGACTGACGATACTATACAGTAACACAGGAGCAACTGTTGCACTCTTTATTTTTGGTTGGGTGACACTTTGCATTGGAGAATATTCATTAATAATAAACACTGCTATAGAGACTGCTACATTCCAGGCACAGGATATATATGAAATCAATGCACTTACAAGACCACTTTATATCTTTGTCTTCATTGCTGTGGATCTTGCCTACAGGTATGACATATAATGTACAGATTTTTTTAAAAAGAGAGACGTATTACATTGAGTAAGAAGTAGTCGGTGGGAAACTAGTTTTATAACTTCGGCTGGGGAATGTTGTTTGAATCAGGGCTTGCATTCTGATTTTTGCATGTGTTTCCAGATTTTGAATTTCTTAATAGAATAGTTGAATCAAATAGGGCTAGTAGTATCATCTTTAGACAAAGACATTAATTTTGGAAGAAAATTTGCTCAGTGAAGTTTTGCACAAAGGTGTTTTTCGAGATATTTAATACTTAACTCCACTCTTTCTTCAGATTTACTGCTAATGTTCCAAGCCTCCTTCAAGCAAATCAGATTTTGCACATTATTTTTGTATTTCTGCCTGTTCTCTGGGCAGTTGGTATTTTGCCTCCTGTGGATGCACTCTTCTTATGGGCCCTTGAACAAGTCTTAGAATTTGGATTTGGAGGTTCACCCATGGCAACCAATGTAAGGTAAAAATCAAGTTATTTAATTTTTAAATTAGAAACATTGCTGTGTTTCAGGGTAAAGTGTTGAGGCTTTTACAAGATAAAGGATATGATTAGGGATTATGGCTTCAATATTTTCAACAGACAGTGTTGACTACTATTACTGGGGTGGTGGGGGCGGATGATCTGCAGCAAACATTTCTTGCACTATTATAAATATTTTGCTGTGAAAGTGGTCCAGAAGTATTTCAGTGTACTGCATGTCACTTCAAATTGTGCAGACTATAGATTTAATGTTCTCAACGGTCTCTTCATAGTATTTTCTTTGACTTGTGAACATTAATTGCATAGTAAAAAAAACTTCAGTGATTTGCGTTTTTGTTCTAATTTTCAATTTTTTTTTGCAGATTATTAGTTATGTTTCTTGTGTCCATCGGAGTGGTGGTTGCAACATTCTTCATCCCGAACAGTCTTGGTGTGGTGCTATTCACAACTGGAATAGGGTTTATACTTAGTATTGATCTCAACCAGGTTGAAGCTTCCTTTGGATCATGCTGCAGGACAGCTCGTGCTTCATTCGAATACCCCAAACATTTTCTTAAACCTCTTCGATGGTGGCTTAGCTGGAAAGAAGTCTTGATCTACATTAGCCTTCTTCTAACGGCACTTACAGAAGCTGGTTTGCTACATTTCTTTATAACCAAATCGACTATATCTATAATAAGTCCTCAAGCCATAGTAAGTTACATTCTAATAGCACTGCTGGTAATTTGTAAGGTGTTCCAACAAACTCAAGGTGCTTATCTTCTCTTTGGCTTCATAAGAAATCCTTTGTATCCCAAAGAAATGAGGACTATGAAAAACTTTAAGCAGAAACAAGCAAGATTAGCAAAAGCTGGCATTGTTCGGGGGATTCTCATCAATTTTGGTAAGTTGTACTGAACAAATGTAAATAGAGTGACTAGTTTTATGTGTAGTTTATCTGTTGAAACCCACATAGGGCAGTACAAAAGGCTGGAGAGCAGTACCAGATTGTCAGGCACCATCACTGACTTGCTGTTGTCCTCATAGCTAGTGGCTTTGGATAGAATCGTCACCGTCTGCATGTGGTATGGCTTATACTGCAAGGTGACCACATGACTGCCCATAGAAACATTTAATTGCCTGTGTTTGATGTATACACAGTTGCCTGGAAACTGGAGAATATAGTGGTGAAGTGCGTAAGCTGTCTCATTTAATTTTCAACTGTGATTGAGTGTGCAGCTATTGAAAATGTAGCATTAGAGTCCTAATAATACGCCTCGCTCCCTCCCTTCCCATTTTCAGGTCTTTGCTGAAGACCTTTCTTTTCGACCGCGCCTTTGGTCACTTTCCTCCCCCGCCCCTTGGCTCAATCCTGGGATCCGTTACTGTAAAGCGTTCTGAGACGCCGTCCGGCATGGAGGGTGCTATATAAATCCAAGTTGTTGTTAATATAAACCTCTCTGTTTGTTACAGTTTGTCCATTTGCGATGATAGCCTTTCTTTCAATGGACACTTCACTACTGGATCTCCACACCGCTTCTCTTTGTATTGGGTTCACACGAGCATTTAGAACAGTAAGTCCTGTTTACCAAGTTTTCAAAGCGGATTTTTTTTACAATAAATTCTGCTTTTCAGTTGCTTGATGGGTTTTCTTTTGCTTATTTATCTCATTATACCAACAGTATAATAAACTTTGCAAATAGCATGCATTTGTAACATAATTACCTGGATTTGAAATTTGTTCATGAAGCAAGTGTGAGATGAATGAACCCAGTATCCAGAATCATTTATACTTATAAATCTCAAATTGTTTTGAGTGGTTTATTCTATGAAGATGATTCATTGATACTCCCAGAAGCTCCAGTTTTTATATTTTCTTTCTAATGCATGTCATTTAATGCAGTTTGATTATATTTCTGTAGCAGATTTTTAGTTCTGCTAATTGTCCAGAAAATTATTTTTTTCAATCCCCCCAAAAGCATTTCCCTCGCAGAGATCTTAAGCTCTGACTCTTGCAGAGAATGCTTACGTTTGCCATATTCCCTTGGAATTTCCCCATTAAATCAGTCACCGTGAGTCAAAGTTAAAGATGGCCACATGTTTGGTGATGTCATTGTGAGTATCTAAGAATGTGTTAAATTTTTCAATATCAACTTGAATCAGTCAAATAATGTAGACTACAATGGCTATTTTTGTGAAAGGCCTAATACCACTGCATCAGCTGCTTGGATAGTCCTTCTCATCCAAGGTGCGCTCCATTGCTCGGTAATGAAATGGTTTAATGAATTAAGATTTTTGGGGGGACAGGGAGAATGAAATTAAGCAAGGTTAAAGGATACTCCCCTTCCCCCATATTATTAAAGGCAGAAGACCTTGGTATTTTAACAATTTGAAGATTGGGATTTTGTTCTGTCGGTGGAAGAACTATTTTGATGTCCTAATGATGCTTGTATTGATCCCCAGAGGATCGAGTTCAAGATCCTTGTCCTCACTTTTAAGGCCATCCATGGCCTTGCCCCCTCCTACCTCTCTGACCTGCTGACTCCCTACCAACCTGCCCACTCCCTCCGTTAATCAGGCTCCATGTCTCCCACCCAACCTGCCCTACCATCAATGGCTGGGCTTTCAGCCTCTCTGCCCCCACACTCTGGAACTCCATCCCACGGTCCCTTCACCTCACTTCCTCCCTCGCATCCTTCAAGGCCGGTCTCAACACCCTTCTCTTTGATCGTGCCTTTGGTCTCCCTCCCACATCTCTACTTTCCCTCACCCCTTGTGGAGTCCTGTAGCTCAGTGGTTAGAGCACTCGCTTTGCAAGCGAGAGACCTGAGTTCAATTCCAGGCAGAGGGCGAAACCTTGGGCAAGTTTCCTTACTCCACACAGAGCCTAATAATAATCCCTCTAAAACATAAACAATAATAAATTGGTCATTTTCAATCCACGACTGTTTGTGGGACACTGCTGTGCGCAATTGGCTGCTGCGTTCGCCCACAAATATGCAGTCAATTCACTTTACAGTATATTCTGAAGCACTTTGGGACGTCTAGAAGACGTGAAAAGAGCTACATCAAATGCAAGGATTATTATTATTACATCATCCCTCCCCCATGCTCAGGCCCCGACAGCTGACTGTTCAGCACTTTGGAACGTCCTCCCGACATGAAAGGCGCTCTATAAATGTAGTTTTGTTCTTCTTGTACAACATTGGAGAGCAGTTCCAAACTACTGTATCATAATAATGGTTGGTGCTGGCAGTTTGTATCCCCATGAATGTATGTTTCTGGTTGCACATATAGCTTCTCCTTACACTAAAGTGGGCTATGCCAGACTTCAGCCAGGAGGAAGGGAACATAAGAAGTGGAATCTTCCTGTGCTGCCCTTGTGCACTTCCGAGTGATATTGGCAGAGGCTTTCTTGGCAAGAGAATTGTGTGAAGTATGAAGAACCTCTGGGGGAGGATTGTTTTTTTTAAAAAAAACAATCTTCGAAGTCCAGAAGAATTTTAAATGCTGCTTATCTGCATTATTTATGAAAATTTGCTTTGGATAGGAAGGAGTTTATTATTTGCAGAATCTATTTTATTAAGCCACCGTGCTGTCAACCGCTTTCTTAATGCACTTAACTGCATTTTGACTAAAGTGCTAGGTTTATTCTTAATATTCCTTTTTTTACTATTAAGCAATCTTTGATCATACCTCAACTTGGAAATCTTCAATCCCAGTGACATTACTAGAAGACTAATAACTGAATAATTTAAGTTAAAAACTATGAATAGTTAACGAAATGTATTGCCACTGTTTAGTGCAGGGATGGGCAGTTATTTTGGCTGAGCAGTCATTTATTTGATATTTATTCATTTAAATATCAAAATGGGAAACGCTGATGTTTGTTAACCAGACAATTGAAGTCAGGCATCGTCACCATTGTTGTAGTGCGGTGTCCTGCTGCAAGGTGGTCATCAGTCATCACAGATCTATGTTTTGATTTATTGAATTTCATCACAGAAAATGTCTCCTCGCATATGTATGTTGATCCAAACACCACAACCATCCTCTGGGCATGAACCTTTATTTTTGGAAAGGTATATTCATTAAGGGAGGCATAAAAACTGGGAAGCGCCACTGATTTGAATTGCTCCGCAAGCAATGGATCACATTGCAGGTCAATAAGCTTGAGTTGGAGGTCAAATGGGGTTTTGTCAACATCAAATGAGAAAGACGAAGAGACCAAAGACAGGTCATTTTCGATCAAATTGAAATCCTGGAATCGGCGAGAAAATTCGACATGTAAGTCAAGTAGTGACGAAGTATACTTTTTAAGGCTTTGATCGCGCACAGTAATCTGATACAAAGTTGAAAAGTGGGCTAACCGCTTTTTTCCTATCGCGATAAAATAAATAATTTTGTCATAAATGACTTGACACTGCAATACAAATTGTGCACAAAGGCTCCCTTCCGTTGCAGTTTTGAATTCAGTTCATTCATGTGGCCCTTGATATCAACGGCAAATGCAAAATCAGGGAACCAATTTGCATCATTCAGCTGTGGGAAATCTGAATTTTTTGTTTCATGTCCAAAAATCAATCAATCTCTGTTCTCAGTTCCCACACTCTTTTCAAGGCCTTTCCTAAACTAAGCCATCTTAAGTTCGTGTGATGCAGAACATCCGTGTGCTCGGATTCCAATTCCTCAAGCAGAGTTACGAATTACCTGTGGTTTAATCCTCTTGCTCGAATGTAGTTGACCACTTTTGTAACTGTGTCCACGACATTGCTTAGTTTTGGCACACTCTTATAGAGGACGGATCTCTTGGTGGATAATGCAGTGTAGAAAAACAATATTCTGTTCTGGATTTGTTTCTTTGACTTGATCTTGAATTCTTTTCAGTAACCCAAAATTTTTGCCTGTCAGATTTGGGCTTCCATCGGTTTTCACATTTACCAATTTTTTTCTACTCCACTCCTAATTTTAAGATACACTTATTTACTGCCCCAAAAAGTCTTCTCGAATTGTATCTTTCATTGACTGCATTGATGCTAATTCTTCTGAGAACTCAAAATGTTTGGTGATACCTCAAGTAAAAATTATCAACTGGGCTGTGTCTTTGATATCACAACTCTCATTGAGTGCCAGTGAAAAACATGCAAAATTGCTTACTTTATTTTGTAACTGCAGCTACAGGTTCTTCTCGGAGATATCCTCCACACGTCTCACAGTAGTTAGCCTTGACAAGCTAATGTTCTTGAACTGTTTTTTCTTGTCTGGGCATAAAATCGAGGCAACCATACATTCCTTTATAAATTCTCCTTCAGAGAATGGTTTGCTGCTCTTGGCGATTTTGTGCGCAATCACGTAACTCACTCTTGTAATCTCATCCTGGGACGCAAATTGTTTTATGAAAATGCTTTGCTCTTTTTGCATTCGAACAAGCATCTCATCAGCTTTCTTTCCTTTTTCTTTGGCAGAAATCTTATATTTGCAAGCATGTTTGCTCTCAAAATGGTGATTCAAGTTGTAGTCTTTGAGCACTGCCACACTTGCTTTGCAAATTAAGCACACAGCTTTTCCACCCACACTGGTTAAAAAAATGATTTAGAAGTCCATTCTTTGTTGAATATTTGGCCTTTAGCATCCACTTTCCACTTCTTTGATAAACTCATTTCGCATTAACGTCCTCTTCAGTGAAAAGTGTTGCCGCGTGCGTATGTTTGAAAATTTGCTGATCCGTACATTTCTGACGTCAGCCTGATTCAACACTTAAGGGCATGTGCCCACAACTAAGCAGTGTGATTGGCTGATGTTCCCGGTCTGATTCAAATGCGAAATTTGTGGGACTTTGTGGGACTGAACAAATTATAATTTTTTCTATTGCTAGGCACAATGACGGGCTAGATAGAATCATTTGGTGGGCCGGATATGGCTTGCGGGCTGTATTTTACCCACCCCTGGTTTAGTGCATTATTCAATATAAATCGCCATGTATAATTACTTGACCGTTGCAATTTCAGAGAAAGTCAAAACTATTTTCAGTCACTTCTCTGTTTTACTTCAGTCTTTTTGTACTTCCAGTTTTCTTGTTACTCTATATTAAAAAGTATTGCGTGGGATATAAACTGCTTGCCCATTGACATTATTGCTGTTGGCTGGAAATTTGTGGAAAGTTGGATGATGTCAGTTTCTCCCTTCTGTACAATTTTCACCTCGCGAGTCTCACTAGAATAATGTGTTCTTTTTAATGTAACTTAAAATATCTTTCTAGAAGTATGTTTAGACACAGTTTTCTTTGAAAAGAAAGTTATTACTGGAGCTTCGAGAATTTTTTTTAAGTGGTTTTTTTTTTAAAGAAAGGAATTTATTTTAATCCCACATCTTTCGATGAGACGTTAAACCGAGGCCCCATCTGTCAGGTGGACGTTGAACTACTTGAAAAAAGAAGGGAGTTTCTTCTGATGTCCTGGCCAACAAACCCCCTGATAATAAATTGGATGTTTGCTTCATGGCTGTTTGTGGAATATTTCTGTGTGCAAATTGACTGCAGTGTTTGCCTTTAAAATACACAGTCGCTCTATAGTAAATCACGTGAAGCCCTTTAAAACATTCTCCTAATTTGAAAGGTGCAATATGAAATCAAGGATTATTATTCACATTACTGTTGAACACCATTCAAAATAAGATCTTGGCTGTAACACCTTTGGGAATAAACTAAAATAAATTGCCACTTATTTTTTAGAGTGATGAATATGGATTTCAGGGCCAGCGTTATTTTTGTGAATCATCTTCATATCAATAATTGTTTGACAATTTTGTTTTTTTTAATTAATGAGTGTCTGTTCAAAACCTCCAATGTCTGTTTTTGAAGGTGTGGCAGAATACAGAGAACGCACTAGTGGAGGTTGTGGTCGTAGCCATTGTACGACTGGCTGCATTATATACAAGTTTGGTGTGGTGGAACAGTGTGGGAACAGGAATCCAACTCCTAATGGTAATTACCGCTTCATTTCTTTTACCTTTGTCCTTGTTGATCGTTGCCATCTCTGCATATAGCAGCAGGATGTAATTATTCTATTTTGGAAGAAGAGAAGGGAAAAGTGCAAAACAATCAATCATTTACTCGTCAGATTAATACAAAAATTCAAGTGCTTTGAAATGTTAATATGTTTTTACAAAAGCAGCTGTGATAGTGGTTTTCTGTGTGCATCTAAGAAGTTGGTTTCAGTGTACATCAAAGAGTGTAGAATTTGATACTATAACAGCTTGTTTAATCCAAATTCAGTAACTGGAAAAATACTGATCTAGTACAGTAAAATTACATTAAATTATCTACCCATGATTTATCCATCCTTAAGGTTTTATGCTGTGGTCCTATCCATCAGTCAATGCTGAGTTGTCAGCAAAACTTTTTTCTGAAATGAAATTTGCCCATTTGTTTAAAACAAAACTAGGATAGGAAACTAACTTTTTTTAAAAATCGCCAACTGGAGATGTAAAATATTTGCAGGTAATTTGAGGGTTAGGGAATAAAACTTGCGTACAGGATTAATACAATTTTAACTGGAATTCAAACATTGTAACCCTCTTTTGTATCATTTTATAGGTTGGAATTATTCGAGATCGCTTCTTTCAAGCAGTTTCGAAACTAAAATTTGCTCTGACTGTACTTATCTCCTCTTGGACGGAGAAGAAGCAGCGCCGAAAGTCTTCCGCCACGATAATCACTTTTAATATATTTTTGTTCCCACTCGTGTTGACAGTTATAGCTCTTGCTTCTGCACTTTCAGCCCCATTGCTTCCACTTTTCACACTTCCGGTATTTTTAGTGGGATTTCCAAGACCTAAAAGGAGCTGGCCAGGATCTGTGGGCTCCTCTGCATGTAAGTGCCCTGATTCGGTGTATTACCAGCAGATGGTGCACAATCTGGCTGCTGCATTCGGGACAGCATTTGCTGCTGGCAGCTTAGGTATGTAATGGTGACTATGTTTGATTGTTATATTCTTAACAGTGTGTATGTATCGAAGGTTCAATTCTAGCAAATGTTCTTGAGTTGGTTTAGTGTGTGACTGTTAAGTTTGTTCAGTTTTAAAAAATAGTGGAATTACATGGACTACTACAGCACACAAAACAGGTCCTTTGGCACAAATAATCCATGCTGGTGTTTACTACTTGAGTTTTGTTGAGGAGTAAAGTTGATTACATTTTGTCAGTGGAGACCTGCCGCTTTTCAGCGCCTTGGGATGTCCTCCCGACGTGAAAGGCACTTTATAAATGTAATTTTGTATTGTATTTTAAAATGTGTTTTTGAAGAGTTTGTTCCAAACCTATCCAAACCTCCCTTTGCCCCCCTGACCCCAGCTCGGGACTGAAATGCTGTACACTGTCCAGTGCCTTGGGACGTCCTCTCGACGTTAAAGGCGCTATACAAATGTAATGTGGTTGTAACATGCAGTGTGTAAAAGATCTATTTGCATATGTGTAACATTTTATTATATTATATCATCTTTGGCACAAATTTGCTGGTGGATGAAATGTTCGTTGATATTCTGATATTGACATTCTTCTATCAGGAGACCCCTCACCAGGCTCCCACTTCTTGTGTCGTTTCCAAGATCGATTAGTGTGGGTTTTGGTTCTGGAGCGAGGCTTTGGCTACTGCTGCCTTAATATTAAGGTAATGAAGGACTTGTGCAATGAAAACTATCTTGCATTTGTAACAGCCATCATGTTGTAAAGTCAAATTCAAAATTCCCTTTGCGTCACTTTTTCATTAGAGGAAGGACGTAGTATTAATATACCAAATTACATTCTCTTGTGGTGTACTGTTTTCAAAACTAGAGCATTCTGTTTTTAGGTAAAGAAAAAACCCCTCAAAGACCCAGTACCCTGCTCACCATTGAATGGTAACTGTTTGTTCTTGTGCTGAATTCTACCCTTAGCCATGGACATATTGATGATCCACTTCACCAAATCTCATGAACTCTTGAATCTGTGCTCTAGTCTTGAAATCTGTGTAATAAGACACGGTGGCTTAATGCATTAAAGTTTAGTGCATGTAATTTCATGCGTGGTGGGTTACAGCATGTAGATGTAAAGCACTAAGTTCTTATTTTTAGAAATGTATCTGCAAAACACTTTACTGTTTTCTTAAAGCATATGGGACTGTGAAAAATTGCAATTTCATCCAGAACTGCAATGTTTTGGGACAGGCAACATAAGTGGTGCACAAAAAAAAGGCCAGTTGCTTTCCCCCCTTTAAGGAAATCAATATGCTAATCATCAGAGGTCCACTCACAATGCTCACAGGTTTTCAGGCTATTTTATCAGCCGGGAAAAATTTGATGGGGAAGAAAATGACAATTCTCCTTTCTTCCACCACCCAGCAAAGACATTTGTTTCAGTTTTGGGGATTGATCTTTATTTATTTTTTGTCAGGGTTTAGAACTACAAGAAACATCATGCCACACCGCTGAAGCTCGAAGACTGGATGAGATGTTTGAAACGACCTTTGAACAAGATGACCGTACATCGGCCTGTTCAGTAAACCCATATTTTGGCAGCATCTTGACCCCGTGTGCAGCATTACCAGTGGTAGTTTACTCGGATGCACGAAATGTTTTGACTGGAATAATTGATTCTCATGACAATCTAAAACAGTTAAAAGAAGATTTTATTAAAGTTCTGATTTGGGTACTTTTACGCTATTGCAATAAGTCTAAATTTGCTAATTTTAAGGAAAGCCAGCGAACGCAACATACAGTAAATTGGTCAGAAGAGCACATTGGTACTTCAGTACAAATAGAAAACAAAAGCCATTCTCTCGGATCTCAAAGTTTCAAAGATAATTATACTGTAAGTTCAGACACATTAAATGACTGGTCAGATGATGATCTCTTTGAACTGGAGCCCACTGTGAAGAAGCCTCAAGTAAATGTACTTCAAGTTGCTACAAATCAGCAACAAATTCCTACAAACCCCACTGTAATATTCATTCCAGGGAGCGTAGAAACTCAGAGTTTATCTTTCAGTACGACTAATGAAGAACCAGCACAAAAAAATGAGTTTGGACTTCCTGCTACTGACAAAGGGAAACAAAACATTATGGAACCGGTTTTCCATGAAGCACTTCCTACAGTTATTTTCAGTTCCACTCACTCAAAAAAGTTAAGCATGCCGGATGAATGGAGATTCGGGCCTTTCCCTTCTCTGTTCCTTCAAGAACTATTGAAGTCCTTCCCTGAGGATTGGTATACCTTTGTCCTTACTCTCCTAGACATTGTCAGCTCAGATGAAAAAACTTCCATTATCGTTGAAGAACTGAAAGAAGACAAGATTTTAAGGGATATGTATGCCAAGGTGGTAATGACTTGTTATGGTTTGATGATGGGATCAGACTTTATAAACCCAGGGCCCAATCATGTCTTCAAAGTATATTCTGGTGATATTCCCTGGTCGTTGGGTTTGGACTGGCTGACTGAAAAACCAGAGCTGTTTACCTTAACGCTAAAGGCTTTCAGGTAACTAAACTTTACTAACTTTTAAGATCTAGAACACTTTTTTATGTGTAGGTTATTGGCTAATTTTATCAACATGCTAAGAGTAATTGCAATAATGCATCTCTTCAGGTATACGTTCAAGCTAATGTTCGATAAAGCCAGTCTCGGGCCAGTTGAGGATTTTGCTGAAATGGTGAACTATTTGGAAGAGTATGAGAAAGACTGGTTCATTGGAATGGTATCTGAGCCTCAATGGCAGAAAGCAGTACTTCAGGAAAAACCATACCTCTTCTCCCTAGGATATGATCCCAGTCTGGTAAGTGCCACTATTTGGAGAAGTAAGATTTTATTTTTCCCTCCCCCGTAATCCAGGAGTCACTGGGGCCAGATGTAGTGCTGTAACTAATTTCTTGGCTAAGAGCAGAGAACTGCACAAAGAGCAGTTTGGACCTGCACCATTCTGGTCTAAATGGAATATTAACATATTTCTGACAAAACAACCAAGCCTGGTTTTGTCCACCTTGATTTCAAATAAGAAATTATTTTTTGGGAGAAATATTGTTTTTCTTGTCTTCTCTTTGCAGGGCACATACACAGGTCGGGTGTTGACCTTTCAGAAAATGTTGATGCAGGTAGGACGGCTAAATGCAGAAGCAATACGGGGTCAATGGGCCAATCTATCTTGGGAACTTCTATACGCTACAAATGATGATGAGGAACGCTACAGTATCCAAGCACATCCGGTATTACTGCGGAATCTGACAGTCCAATCAGCTGACCCTCCCCTTGGATATCCCATATTTTCCTCTACGTCTATCCACATATCTCTATTGTAAAGAATCTCATTCCAACTATTGATTTATTCTAAAGAATTTCATGCAATTGCTGGTTTGTTCTAAACATTTTATTGTGTATACTGATTCTCAATGCACATACCTAAGCTAATTTATTACTACAGAAGCAATATTGGTGCACCTTTCATTTGGTATTGTAAAATTATACAGGGTGATCCTGTTGTAAAATGACCGTTTTGGTTCCATAAACTCAGACCCCCCCATGTTATGATGAAGCATTTTTTAAAAAAGGTGGTGCCTTTCAGTTCACCACTGAAGTCACTTCCTGCACACATGCTTGCTATGCGAGGGAAGTGTCACTGACACCACTTCCTTTGTGAAGTGACCTCAGTAGCACTTCCTGCACATAATGCACGTACACGTGCAGTCAGTGACATCCGAAGGCAACCTATTTTTTTAGCATAGTAAGGTAGCCAGATAGCACCAGAAGCCAGGCTTACTGCACTTCTGATACAGTGCGTGCCCACAGAACAGCCACGCTATTAACTACACAGTGCTAAAGGATATGTTATAATGGAGTTGTCCTGTATTTGAATATAATTAAGGTGATAGATCAACATTCGATCCATTAACTATAAAAAATATATTATAAATGTTGTATACAATTCTGTGAGAAATTTGGCAACATTCTGACCAGCTTTTCTTTTAAACTTTTTTTAAAAAAAAATTCAAAGTGTCTTCTGTATCTTCAATGTTCTTGGTAAAGTAAAGAGGAATTCAGCCAGGGTTTCCTCCAGATTGCCATTGTGTGCATAGGCATTTGGTAAGGATGTCCCACCATCTAAGTCTGCCAATATTCACCTTCCTGACTGACACAACCCATGGTCTCTTGGCTGAGATCCTGGAGAATTGCACCAAATGAGGAAAGAGAAACGAAGGAACAAATAAAAACTTGCAGTTTTGTAGTACACTACGTTTTCTGAATAACAATTCGTTGTGCTGGAACACAAGAATGAAAAATATTAATGGATTTTTTTTATCCTTTGGGGGTTTTTGTTTGAAAGTGCCATTAAACTAGGCATTGAAAAAATCCTGCTTCCAAAGTGTAATTTCACTGCATAAATACAATTAGAAGTTTGATTTGTTGATAATGCATGTTTGACAGAAATTATCTTTGATTTCTTTATCTTCTTTTTTTATTAAAACAGTATGTGGGGCCATAAGGTAATCAATACTGAGAAAAAGAAAATTCATTTGTTTTTGTTAAGAAACTGATCTTCACCTTCTGGCCTAATTCAGTACACCACAAAAGACTTACTCAGGGTTTAGTTTAAATCAATTTGATGAGCCCTAGTATGACCATTTCAATGGAGTATTTATATTGCAGAAGTGCCACAGCTAAAATTAACTCTGGGCTACAATGCTGTGGAATTCACCCTGTTTCCACTTTGGGTTGCATTCACATGCAGTTGTTTGAAAGTACCATCTGGGTTTATTCTGGCCTCCAGACATTAGCAATCTAGAAGATCAGGAATGTATAACTTGTATTGCTGGTCTGTATGAATAGAATGAACCCTTAGCCCACCCACAGTCTGAGAAATTGGTGCGTGGTGCAACCAGAGTGGTTTTAAAGCACTACCTTTGTGGAGTCCTGTAGCTCAGTGGTTAGAGCACTCGCTTTTGCAAGCGAGAGACCAGAGTTTAATTCCAGGCAGGGCGAAACCTTGGGCAAGTTTCCTTACTCCACACAGAGCCTAATAATAATCCCTCCAAAAACAATAATAAATTGGTCATTTTCAATCTACGACTGTTTGTGGGACATTGCTGTGCGCAATTGGCTGCCGCGTTCGCCCACAAAAAGTCAATTCACTTTACAGTGTGTTCTGTGAAGCGCTTTGGGATGTCCTCCCGACGTGAAAAGCGCTATATCAAATGCAAGGATTATTATTACTACCTGCACTTGGTGCCTCAGAGGCAGCAGTGATGCCATCTTAGTTGGGACTGCTGGTAGCGACAGTCCAGCAAGAATACACATGCATTCAAATTGGTTTCTGCTCATCTTGACTGTAATATGTCAATAACACCAATTAATAACAAAGAATGGATGTAATTTGGATGAAATATTTTTGGGTATAAAAACCTGGAATATTGCTGGATTGCACAGTGCTGCTGAATTTTATTAGTTTTTGACAAGTCACTGGTAATATTCAGTCCCAGCTCATTCCATTCTCTATCCACTCCACAAAGTGTCAAATGGAGCATGTGTCATCCACTTAAATCAGGAAGGCAAACTTGTCAAGTGTTTTTAATATATTTTTTATATATATATATATATCTCAAATCTGGAAAATGCAGCTCTTCAAATGTTTGTCAGTACCAAACTGAACCACTGGAGGCCTAGAGGTTCCCACATTAGATCCCATCTCCGCCCCTTGGTTGGTGGTGAAAATAAGCTAGGATTTCTGCTCTTTATTACTGTTTATGAACCCTTTCTGGAAAATGTGCATGTTGGGTGAGGCCAAGAGTGGGCTTGGCTGTGATGCTGCTCGCAGTCAAATAACTAAGTAGCACTTTCTATTTAATATCATATATGAGGAATGACTACTCTGGTGAGAAACTGCAAGTTGGCACCATAAAACTAACTCAGCATGAATCATTGTTTTCAGAGATCAGGGTGTTTCACTTTCTTTTAAATTAACTACGAAAAAGGAAATTTCTCTTGAGAAACGACATTTGATTATGAAAAGTTCATAGCAATACTGGGTGCCAGGAAAATTACTCCTTTGAAATCTTTGTGCGGCCATTCATGTACATATACGTAATGTGTGTTTTTAACCATGCAAAAAAAGCATTTAATTTTATTAGGTTTTGCTGAAATAAATCGCCTTTATTTTTAGTACTGTATACACATTTATACATATTGCATACATACCAGTGTTTTTAAATATCACTTTAGTACAGTATTTAGTTGTAGAAATTTATAAATAAGGCAGACTGTTTACGGGAATGGTAATAATTAGTATATTGTGATTTTGTTAAATCTTTAATATCGAAGTGCAATGAATTTACAATGGTGTACAGAACCGTGATAGGCATATTTGACTTTTGACCATTTAGAAGTGTTCTGCGTATTGGTAGGAAACAATTTCTATTTTTAAACATCTGTATAAAGTTTACTTCTAGTGTGATCAAATTCTGAGGACACTCAGTTCAAAATGTATTTGGACTGCATTTTATTTAATAAATGTTAAACTTTACCTTTTTTTCTCCGACTAATAGTATTGCATGTACTGCGTCTGGGTGTCATTGATGTCTTTGTACACACACTCCCACTCCTTCAACTTGTTTGTTTCATGACTTATGATATTTGTACTATCAGTCAGTTGCCGGAAATCAGGAAATGATTCGACGAGGTAAGGTACTGTTAACAACTTTTATCATACAAGTTTTTTTTTTACAAACAATCATCGGAAAAGTGGAGGGGGGAGTGTGTGAGAGGTTGGAGTGTATAATAGACCAAAGACCAGAGTCACTTTGAGATAAGTAACGTTGATAGGTTCACAGAAAGAATTCAACACTGTATAACTTGCTTGCAAAATGCAGTCACTACAATTTACAGAAAAATCCTGTGAAGTGCGTTGAGACCTCTTCCCAATGCGGAAGGTGCTACGTCAAATGCAAGAATTATTTTAGTGTGTGCTAGCCCTTACAGTGGCTGCTGTGCTCGGGTTGGCAAATAGTCGGGCAGTAAGTGATGCGCGCAGCGATGAAAGATGTCTTTATTCGCCTCAAAAAGAAACAACTCAGTGACTAAAATGGCACGTCACTCAGTGCCTCGTGAGTCATACTGAGCAGAGTAGGAGCTGCTGTGCACTTTGAGAGAAAGAGAGAGGACAATGGCGCTTATTGTGACCTCATTACCCCACCTCCTGTCTTCACAGGATTGGCGTTTTCATGCTTTTAACTCAAACCAATGAGAAACGAATCCTCTTTGATATAAACCGGAAAAGGGAGAGAAGAGTCAGGAATCTATCTTCCTTTTGTGAAAAAAAAAGGAGAACTTGTAAGATAGAAAACTGACACTTAAAACACATTGCTAGTGAGTATATTTTTACCCTGCCTAATTTAGATCGGAACAAGTAAATCTAGGGCTTGGTAGAACTGTATTTGCCAGTGATCCTCTAATTTTGGAGAATGAGTGCTAGCTAGGCATCCAGCTCATGTCGGGATAATGTTCCATATCATGTGTTTAGTTTATAACAGTATTGTTCATCGATGGCACTGTTGTAGGCTAAACAAGACAGCTTTCATGCTATCAGAGCTCATAATGTCCTGTGGTGGATTCCTTTCGTTGACCAAATATACCTGAAATATTTCTGGTGTGTTAGGCTCAGTGCTGGGCCAGATGGTGGTTTCGTCCACTGAGCTATTGATGAACAGGGCAGAGTTCAACAACTGAATTGGTCTAATCAGAAACAGCAGCTAGTAGAAGAAATTAATCTTGTAACTGTAATTTTTCTTCATAAAAGATTTTTCTTGATATGTATTGGGAAAATCTGACTAAATGATCAACCGAAACCAAAGTCCTAGCTGGAGTTGCATTTTTCAGCAACTTGCCTGCAAAAAATATTGAATATTACAAACTGAATTTCATCAGAGCAAAACATTGTGGGGAATGCAACAGAGGACTGATGGTTAGTAAATTAAATTTTCTTTTAAACGGTGTTGTGTCCTTATTTTTTTTAAAAATCATTGATACAATTTTTTCTTGTCAATACAATCTTATGTTACTTTGGATTCATTTTGCTTTGCAGCAGAGCAATGGTGAACACGCCTTCAAGAGGTTTTGACCTTCATCTTTGTGAAATAAGAGGCATCAGCATCCTGAAAATATAAAATACCAAATTATATTCAAAATATTAATTCAATAAACCTGTAGAAAGAAAAATTCCAATGGTATAAGACTAATTTCTTCTGTCTGTTGATACTTCCACATGCATGAATATCGTATTAAACAAATTTACCATCTATTTTCTGGCTGCAATACAATACTTAGGATAGAATTTGAGAGGCCAACGATAAGTAGTGACTTGTTTTACTAATTTTAAAAGCCAAAGTTTTTTTTTGTATTTCCTGTTTGATTATTATTGGGCTGTGCATTTTCTTCTGAATTTATTGTGGAGCCTTTTTNAAAAAAATGACAGATGGTTAAAATTGCAGGGTTAACTGGTCCCGATTACACAAAAGATAAGAACTGCTAATACATTCTGAAAACAATTTGTCATATTCTTAAATATTGAGACTAGTTATGCAGTTTTAATTTTGAAACAGGTAAGCTCTTTTAACTACAGAAAACCTGTTGCAAAGCTAAAACTGAACTCAACAAATTGCCAAATTGGGACATCATCCACGTGAAAGGCATTATACAAATGTAATTTTGTATTGTAAATTCCCCTTGCTCTGAAATACAATATAAATTTACATTTATACAGCACTTTTCATATTTGGAGATAATAAATAAACAGATAAATACCAAGAAAATATAGCAGATTCGGATCCTGGAGGAATCTATTCTCCTATAGCAACTTATTTTTTAAATCTAATAACCCCAAATCCTTTTTTTTGATGGAAACTTCTCTTCCTTTTTTTGCAGTTAGTTCCACATGATTATCGCCATTATACTAAGTGTCCTGCACTGCCTATTCCCCTTTGTTGCCCATTCTTTGAAGGTAATGCCCCTTATTCTTTTGCTTTATACCTTTATATTAAAAAAAACTTGGGTAACTAATAACACTAGACTGCATCAGTCTAAAATACTCCCAAGTTCAGTCTACTTTCCCATTAACTTACATTTTTCAACCTTTGTGTGCTCGTTAAGGTGCAAGACATCTTAATCCATTTGGGTGAGAAAGATGAAAATGCTAATAATAATCCTTGCATCTGATATAGCGCTTTTCACGTCTTCTCGACGTCTCAAAGCGCTTCACAGAATATACCGTAAAATGAATTGACTGTATATTTGTGGGCGAAACGCAGCAGCCAATTGCGCACAGCAGCGTCCCACAAACAGTCGTGGATTAAGTGACCAAGTTAATTGTTTGTTTGAGGGATTATTATCCCTGGAAAATTGATCCGACAATCGACTAACAATGGGGTTCCTACTTACTGCTAGGTAAACAGAGGCTTGTGGAGTGTTCTCACCACTGAGCTACAAGGCTCCTAGTCAATTATTAACAGAGTGAATTTAAGCAACAACCAGAACAACTTGCACCCTCGCGCAGGATAGCGTCTGAGCGCTTAACAGTGGCGGAATCTGACTCAGCTGTTAACACTCATAGAAACAGGTGTAGGCCATTCAGCCCCTCAAGCCTGTTCCGCCATCCTATAAGATTGTGGCTGATCTGTACCTCAAGACCAATTATCCGCCCTTATTATGATCCCTTAATACACAGGCCTGACAAATATGATTAATTTAATGCTGCACCTGGTTTATCTCTTCAGTAAAAGCGTTTTTCTCAATATCTGAGCAGGTTTGTCCAGGACACATCGTGCTGATTATGAGTTTGGATAAATAGCAAGTTCTGGTCGAAGGGAATTAAAAAATCCTAAAGAATAACAATAACCATAATGAATAAACATTCAAACTATTGTACAAGACAGATCAAAGCCTTCTGGATATAGAACCAATGACGCTGTTTTTCTTTTAAACTGATCTATTTTTGCATAATATTGCTGCGCTTTCAACTTTTTCCACATCCAATGGGAAAGTCAGATTGAGTCAGACCCGAATGTTTATGGCTTGACCTCCAGTTTGTTCTTTTGCATAATATTAGCTGAGTCAGCAGTAAAGTAAGATGGCATTCCAGTTTCTAATTGCGATGCAGTGCTGTAGTGGAACACACATCACTCAACTTTGAAGTGAGGGCAAGATCACCTTAGCTATGATATGCTTCATGATTATCGTAGGCTCAAATAATAATAATAATCCTTGCATTTGATATAGCGCCTTATCACGTCTTCGAGACATCTCAAAGAGCTTCACAGTATATACTGTAAAGTAAATTGACTGTATTTTTGTGGGAGAAACGCAGCATCGAATTGTGCACAACAATATCTCACGAACAATCGTGGACTGAGGTAATTGGGTTTTTTTTTGAAGAAATTATTATCCCCGAAAAAGTGATCCGACAATCAACTTAAAAGCCGGTTTCCTACTTACTGTTAGGTAAACAAACGCATGTGGAGTAAGGAAACTTGCCCAACATCTTGCCCTGATGGGAAACAAACCCAGGTCTCTCACTCGTGAGGCGAGTGTTGTAACCACTGAGCTACAAGACTTCATTTTAAAATGAAGAATGACTACCTGAGTGAGGACCAAATGGTGGCAAAAGCCCATGGATCTCTGACCCACCAGGAGAAGGAGATAATTGGAGGATAATCATAAATTGGATGAAGAAAATGGGCCTTTTTCTTAGTAATTTCTGGGAGGTATACAGTTTTCAGAATTAACCTTTTCAAAATTAGACCTCTGTATAATTTTCAGACAATTTGCATATAATTGTAAATCTGGACATTGTGCACATGACACTGTGATTTCTTTATCAATCAAATATAACATTTGAATCAGACTTTGAGGTACATTACAAACTGCTTGCATTGGATGAAGCAAAGGGCCTCCAAAGCCTTACTTCATGTTGCATGCAGCCTGGGCAGGCCTGAAGCCTTGCGTTCTTTGTACAATAAATCATGGGTCAATTACAGATCATGCTAAAACCTATTACATTGACTTCACTCGACTGATTTCATTTCCTGAGAGAAGCCAGTCTGCCCCGATCTCGGTTATCCTCTTGTTCAGTTATTTTTTGTTCAAACATCAATCCCAGTAAATATCGAAGGGTTTGATATTTATGTCTTACTTTTCTTTACTTCTGGATCAATACTTAGTTTGTGAAAGCAAAGAAACTTTAATCTCCACTCTTAGGTGACAAGTACGTTAAGAAATGGTGGGAACTGAACAAAACCACTGACAAAATCAGAAATACAAGTGATGATTAGCAATTACCTACTTCAATAATCACATGAGACAGCTCAAATGCCCTCTAATTAAATCAGTTACCTGCAAAGCATGTTTACTAGCAGCGTAACCTGTAGAAACTGGCACAGAAGCCAGTCCTGCCATACTGCTGACAGTGATTATCTGTCCTCATTTCTGCTTAATCATTTGAGTAGAACACATTTGGTTTATGAGATTGTACTAAGGCAGTTCAATTGCATTATGGCTTCATAAACAGCCAGGTTTGGTTCCAGGAATAAGGAGAGCTGGAAACGCCCACCGTTGTTGACCAAAATGTCGATCTGAAAAGGGAGGCATTAAAAGGTTATTTGGAACACTTAAAACACAACAGCGGAGCTTTGCACACTGCTCGATCAAAAATAGATCAACAATTATATGTGAATCTTAAACTTAAAACTTGTTTCAGCAACACTGTGCTACAAGGAATTTCAACTTTTTGCTGCAGTTCAGTATAATTTTAATCCATTCAGCCGATACAAGATAAAAACATGCATCTGATTTAGATTACCAAACAGGAAATTAGCTCTCTAATCTTTGTTAACAGCCTGGTGTTATTTAAATTGGTAGAGAATAGTGGCAAATGACTGAAAAGATACATTTGAGGAAAGCAAAAAGGAATAAAATGAATAATCCTTGTGTTTGATATTGTGTCTTTCACATGGGGAGGATGACTCAAGAGTATTTACTTTAAATACGTAGCGATTGTGTTTTGTAGGTGAACACATAGTCAGTTTCCATCCAGCAGTGTCCCACAAACAGTCATGAAGTGAATGGTCAATTTCATTCTGGGGAACTGTTGGTTGGATCACTGGGAGAAACTCCCTTTTTTTTCCGAATCGTGCTGTGGGACACTCACCGTCCATCTGAAAAGTGTTAACATTTCATGTGAAGGGCAGCACCTCCAGCAATAAAGCACTCCCCAGTACTATATTGGAGTGTCCCTTAGACTGAGTTCTGACATGGGGCTTGAACTCATAACCTTCTGACTCAGAGCTGAGAGTGCTATCAACTGAGCAAGGCTGAAATCTAAGTTTCTTTAAAGGTAAGAGTCCATTTTTGGCTCTAACGGATGAACCGTATATCTGCTGTGTTTCATGTCGCCCAAGCTGATAAAACGTACAATATAAAACCAGTATCGAAACTATAGAACGAAGGGGAAGATCTCGGATTATGCTATGTATTTTATTAAGATAGACATGTTAAATATGTCACTAATTTTACATTACAAATTATATAACCTTTCATTATACACTTATGATATAAAATGCTTTACATACAGTATTACATAATTGGACCCAATTTTATTTATTTAGACACAATCTTGCTTATTATTTCAAGATTTTATTTAAACACAGTCTTGCTTATTATTTCAAGATTGTCAATCTCATTTTACTGGCAAGAAGTACTCATTCAGTGTCTCTTCAGAAGTATTAAAATGTGTATTTGTAGGGTAATATTTTCAGTCCACTGTATCCCACAGGTTAGTTTGCATGTTGATTGTTCTCATTTGAATTTTGCTGCTGAGTTTTTTTTTGCCCACATAGCATGTGATTCAAAGCAACTGACTGTGTGGAGGACAAGGATTACTAGAGAATCTTTGATCTCATTCATTTAATAAGAATCCACATTGCCATTTTGTGAACGAAAAGTCCTTGAGCTAAGCTGACAAGAAATATCTAGATCAAATCAATTGAATAAACAGCATTTTTTTCATTAAATAGGATTTCCACAAGCTAAGAAGATTAACCTTGTTCCTGCAGCCCACTAAGGGTGAAGAGGGGGAACCAGGAGTATTACCCCATCATAGTTTGGTGCCAAAATTCAGGAGAGCAGAGAAATGGTATTCCTGTTTACCCAACAGAAAGCAGCGTGGGGTCAGAAAAATTCTCATCTCCAACAGAAACAGGTCAGTATTTTCATTATTTGTGCCAATTAATGACTTTCAATTCTTAGACCAGTTTCTCTGGACAGGAATCCTGATGCATTTTGGTTTCTCTGATTGAAATAAATGTCGAAAAAAAAATTAAGGGAAACCAAAATGTCATACGAGAGATCTGTAATTTGCAACATCCTCAATATCTGCATAATCTTATGACAAGAGGTCATGAAAAAGTCAGTTAAGGGGGTATCTGCTTGCACACAAATAAGTGTGACATGACAATGATAAAGCCTGGATTGAGTTAATGATCAAAAAAAAAATCATCTTCTTTAAAAAGCAATGTTCCTGACAAAAATCAGATTTGTTAATTAAACCTGCTAACCTATTAGTTCATTTCCCATATTTTGTGCAAGGAACAGCACATGCATAACAGAAGGCAGAAAATAATACTGTTGATTCAAAGAGACGGAATTGAATAGGTAGGGAATGCTGCCAAGAGGAAGCTATGAATTAGTGCAGATTAAAACAAAACCGTAAGCAGTTACAAGAATTGATGTCTATGTAACTAATAACAAACCATCCGCCATTAAAGTATTATTCGCAGGTCCTCAAATTTCACTCCTCCAAACCAGCATTAACGAATCACTAAATGGTCTAACCTATATTTTGCATGATTTAACTTACATTTTGTATAAGTTACGTCAGTGTTGATATTCTGCCATTCCTCGCCTAATCATTTAATTATGGTATCACTGTTTAAGAGGTTCATCATAGTTAATAATAAATCATTGTTAGAAAACGTACTTCACCAAAGTGCTGAATAACGTTTTTTGTTGCAGCCTCATGGGAACCTTTTTCATTCAGGTCAAGTAGCAGAACAAGAATATCCTTTTCTTGTAGCTTGCTATGATCTTCAAAAGCAAGACATACACACTCAAGGGAGGGAATAATGCATTTTTAAAAAAAAATGCTTCTCATTCCAACCGCTTAGTGACAATTTTTAACCTTTTTTTTTAAAACAAAAGAAAACTTCAGTTAAAGAAGTTGGTTGAAATACAAACACAGCATTACACAGTTGCATCTCCGTGAACTCTGGTACTCAAGTAAGATGAAAAAAAAATCAATAATATTATTCTATTTATTCACTTGAAAAATAATTCATAAATAGGAACAGAAATGTTTGTTTTAATATTCAAAAGTCAAGAATTTGACTTCTGTTATGTACAGCATCTTTACGTGGGATTAAAAATCACAGACTGGAATCCAAAGAAGTAAAGGTTTACCATGTCATAATTCTAACCGCTCATCTTTAAGGTTTTCCCTGCAGTTTGATTTGAAATAGACAAATATTTTTTTTAAATCCAAAACTATCCACAACACAAATCCTGTAGTATAAAAATTGGCTTAGCTACAATTATTACAGGACAACAAGGTTTCATTTTCAGTTAAATATATTAAACTACAGTATTGTTCTTTGAGGCTGAGGGGAGGCTACTATGAAGTCTTCAGTCACGAAGAACAATTAAGATGTTGTCATGTCAGAAGAGCTTTTAGGGAGAGATAGCTGGAGTCAGACACAGAAAAAGAATAGAGCAGGGAAAGTCTGGTTACCAGCAGAATGTTAAACTATCTTTGATTTCGGATGCAGATTGACCTGTTGTGTATTTCCATCACTCTCTGCTTTTATTTGAGATTTGCACCTGTATTGTGTTTACCTTTATTAACTAATCTTGCTGAAGGGATCAAAAGAAGCATTGACAGAAGCTGGAAATTAATTATTTCGACATTTTTACATCTATTAATATGACTTTTTTTAATGTTCTACCTTATTGCAGAGGCAGTTTTTCTTAACTCTTTGTAGTTCGGCCTCTCTCGTAAGCAGAGAGAACCAGTGAAGCTCCTGTCTTGGCGAGCTGAATGCTAGGCCCCTCTCCAATTCCACTGGAAGCCCCTGTTATCCACACCGCCTTCCCATTTTCTGTCGAGCGTTAAATATGCAAATCGTAATTACTAAACCTGTCACACAGAATTTTAAAAGACGCTTAAAATCTTTAGATAGATTATATTTCTTAAAGGTGGGTGTCAACTTGGGCACTGGCTGATGAAAGGCATTTCAATTAGAAGCATTTGTTTAGAAACCAAAAAAACAAATTGCCTCTCCCAATAACGTCATAATTACAGTCTGAAAGGCAACTCAGTAAAATCTTCCATTTAACCCTTTCAGTGGTCTGACACAGGATCTGCTCAGAAAGACACTGATATGATATTATTTCCAGAGTCGACTAATCATTGTTAATTACTGACTTGAATCTTTTGAATTCAATCCATTGAAATGCCGGTTCAATGGACGATTTATCTGGAGAGCAGATTATTCAAGACAAAATGTAGAAGAAGGATTACTCTAATGATAATGCTATCGAAAGCATAAACTAGTTTTATTAGCTAAACGGATACAGTGAAATCTCCCTACTTGGAGTGTCACCCTGCCATTCCTGCCCAGAACAAAGTGAAATCTGTATCGGCTCTCATGAACCGAATAAACTGCACAATCACATAAATCACCAGACAGTAAAACGCCAGTAACAGGAAATCCATCGTCCAATAACGTGGCAAAATAAAACGAACAGCATTTGTTAAGTGGAACTAATCATTCAAAGGTGCTATTTTTTTTTCCCAGTCTCACTCTTCCTTGGAAAGGAAGGAGAAAATAATAGGAAGACTAATAACAAAATAAAAACCAAACACTTTGGAGAATTTAAAACAAATGTTGAAATTTTAGATTCATCAAATGTCCTTTTCCAGTTGTTTTAAAATATAAGGTAATCTTTGCACTTGATATCATGTGCCCCACAAACAGCCAGAAAGTGAATGACCAATTTTATCTCAGGTATCGAAAGGAAGGACTTCAGGAGAAATCCCTTTCTCTTTTTAATACGGCAATGCGTACAAGAATGAGAATTGAAAATAAATAATAATAATAATCCTTGCATTTGATATAATACCTTCTTAATAGTGAGCCAGGGGGTATAAAAAAAGATTAGGAAGAAATTAGAAATAAGCTAATTTAAGATCCTTTAACAGATTGTGGAGCGACTTCACACCTGGATTTAAGAATCTTCTGCCATCTAAAGCATATTGGCTAAATTGCTAAAGTGAAGTCTCCCCACCTGTTTTGAAATGGGGACACTCAATCAGGAAATAATAATAATTTTTTAAAAAAATTGATGAGGCAGACAGCAGTAGGGAATGTGGTTAGACCGCAAAAGATCAAATAGCAATGGCAGGTTCCTGTACTAAATTGTACTATCGCTTTCTTTGTGAATCAAATGAAAGCAGTTGATGTGCCTTCGCTTGTGGCTTCCCTGAAATGCATCGGTTTCAGAGCCTGGAAGTAATTTGAATAGTAGAACCCGGAAGTGGGAGGCGCAAGGATCCAAATGATATTACAGTGTATTATCAAGGTGTATCAGCAGTATTACAATTTAAAAGAAATAAACCTTAGTCAATTGCCTCATAGCTGTAATGTAACAAGGCAAATTGTTCTGAAGTGAATGAGCCTGTAAGAGAAAACCAACCAACATGTCATTTGCAGCTGGTGTGTTTTGCATTGGGAAATTCTACCCCTTTATATTTAAATTAAAAAAAACTGTGTAGAGTTCTCTAACCATTACTCTACGGGACTCCACGATAAAGTATTTCACCCGTTCCAGCGCTCTGAAACTCCACCCCAGCTCCCTTCTTACCTTTAAATTCCGTCTCAAGACTTTTCTTTTTGGCTGTGCTCTTATAATAATTAATAATCCTTGCATTTGATATAGCACCTGATCACATCTTCAAGTGCTTCATAGAATATACTGCAAAGCGAATTAACTGTATATTTTGTGGATGTAATGCGCCAGCCAGTTGCGCACAGCCGTGCCCCACAAAGTGGATTGAGTGACCAATTTTTTTAATATATATAAGGGATTATTATCCCCGGAAAAGCGATCCACCGATCGATCAGGTCCTACTTACTGCTAGGTAAACAGGTGTGTGGAGTAAGGAAATTTACCCAAAGTTTCATCTTGCCCAGGACTCGAACCTCTTGCTTGCGAGGCCAGTGCTCAACAACAACGACTTGCATTTACATAGCACATCTCACGCAGACTAGCGTCCCAGAGCGCTTGAATCTGTGGCATAATCCCATTATAGTTTAGTCCGATTTCATTTCAAATAATCTTTATTTGCTGCATCTGTTGATACATTGCCTCGCGAGGAGGTTGGAATACGAGAATCTGGAAGGCATTACTGCAACAAACTCTTCTTCTGGAAATGGTACACGAACAACTGCAGGAAAAAAATAAAAGGTAGAGTTGGATAAGGGTTGGTTCCTGTGATTATTGCTTTCCCCCTTTAACGTGAATTTGCTATTGAAGCCATATGGAAAGCATTAAGCAAGGCACAAGGGTGATTCAATCATGCTGCTCTTATGATTCTAAAGGAAAATGATTAAAACATATTTACCCACTGAGTTACCATGAGAGCTTACTTAGTGACAGCCTTAATTGATTCTCGTTGTATGTTTTTCGTGTTTTGATTTCTTGAAGGTGGGGATATACTAAATGTTATCGGCACATTTATACCAATATTGTCCAGTAAAGAGATAAGATTAGTTTCGTTATAATGCTGTATAGAAAATGAATTACTTGTATTTAAATTAAAAACGCTGTTAAATTGAAGTAAAAGTGGCTTCCGATGAGTGAGTGACAGGCAATGTCTAAACTGTCACATTTGAACAATCAAGAAGTAATGTTGAGTGAAATTATTCAGTGGGTAAAATGGGAGACCAAGAGTAAGGGCTCTCATCAACCATTCTTCCGAGAGACATACGTGCATCTACGTGAATGCAATTATTCCTGCCGTTAACTCCGATATGGAAGTGTATTATCAACCCCACCACGATGAGGAACAAGAAATAATTCCAAACTGAACGGTTTATTTTCAATGATCAGAGCCGTTAGTTGCTAAAGCGTCCCTCACCGAGTTACCAGGAGAGCCGACAGCTGCGTTGGGGCCCAAAATGCCATCCGATCTTTACCCGGTTGGACCAACTTGTCTTACTTATATTGAAGAAGATAGCGCAGGACAGGAGAAAATTCTTAAACCCCGTCTTCGCGTGGACCTGGAGTTATCTGGAGGCAGTTCTGGAAGAAGAACCCACTTCCAGAGCAGGACCAGATTTATGAATCGTCCCTCGATTCTCTGCGCTGCGCCAACTGGAAGACAAACGTTTGCAGCCGCAGGAAGTCCGTTCACTTCACGCTATATTCCCGAGAAGCGCTTTGAGACGTCTTCTCGAAGACGTGATGAGGCGCTGTATCAAACGCAAGGAGTATTATTATTATTATTATTATTATTATCGGTGTCATTGCTATTAAAATGTTCTCACCGGAGGAGGGCTGGTGGTGGGGGAGGAAGGAAAGACGACACCAGGTGATGACCCTGGGAGGGAAGGGAAGAGGAAAGGAGGAAAGAAAGAGAAAGAAAGAAAGAAAGAAAGAGAGTAAGAAAGGGAGAAAGAGTAAAGAGAAAGAGCGAGTGAGTGAGAATGAAAGAGGGGGTGAGAGAGAAAGTGGGAATGAGTGAGAAAGAGATTGAGTGAGTGAGAGAAAGGGAGTGAGTGAGAAAGAGGGAGTGAGTGAGAAAGAGGGAGTGAGTAAGAGTGAGTGAGAAAGAAAGAGGGAGTGAGAGAGAGAAAGAGGGAGCGAGTGAGAAAGGGAGTGAGTGAGAGAGAGAGAGTGAGTGAGTGAGTGATAGAGGGAGTGAGAGAAAGGGAGTGAGAGAGAAAGAGGGAGTGAGTGAGAGAGTGAGTGAGTGAGTAAGAGGGAGTGAGTGAGAAAGAAAGGGAGTGAGTGAGAGAGAGAAAGAGGGAGTGAGTGAGAGAGAGAGGGGGTGAGTGAGAGAAAGAAAGAGGGAGTGAGTGAGAGAGAGAGGGAGTGAGAGAGAAAGAGGGAGTGAGGGAGAGGGAGTGAGTGAGAAAGAGGGAGTGAGTGAGAGAGAGAGAGAGAGAGAAAGAAAGAAAGTAAGAGGGAGAGAAGGAGAAAATAAAGAGGTGTCAGTCAGTGAGTCAGTGAGTCGGTGGGTGGGTGAGGGGTGGTATCCGGGCGGTGCTGAGCGCAGGCGCTGGTGGTGGTGTCGGTGGCGGCCTCTCCCCTCCTCCCCCCCTCCCCTCCCCCCCGCGGGAGGGCTCTTGTCTCCCCGCCCGACGCCGCCGCCGCCGCCGCGGGTGATGTCTCTCCGCCCTGTGGCCCACACCGAGTCCGGTCCCACTGCCGCTGGGAGGGGGCGTCCACTGTGAGGGAGAGAGAGAGGGAGAGAGTGGGGGAGAGAGAGAGTGATAGAGAGTGAGAGAGAGAGAGAGAGTGTGAGAGGGAAAAAAAAGGAGGGAGGGGGGACGGGGAGGGGGGGAGAGAGAGAGAGAGAGGGAAGAAGGAGAGAGAGAGAGAGAGAGAACAACAACACGAAGACGAAGGAGAGAGAGAGAGAGAGAGAGGAGACGCGGCCGCCGTGTGTGTGAGTGAGTGTGTGTGTGTGTGTGTGTGTGGGGTTCTCGGTGAGTGTCCTCTTTCTTTCTTTCTCTCGCTCTCTCTCTCTTTCTTTTTCTCTCTGTCTCTCTCTTTCTGTCCATCTCTCTGTGTGAAGAGACCGCGGGGGGTGGGGTGGGGGGGTCCGGGGGGTCGGTGTGTTGAGTTGGTCGAGAGGAGAGAGGCCGAAAGAGAAGGGAGGAAGCGAGAGAGAGAGAGAGAGAGAGAGAGGGAGGAGGAGGAGGAGAAGGTGGAAATAGAGGGAGGGAGGGAGAGAGTGTGTGTGAGAGAGAGAGAGAGAGAGCACAGGGCCGTGAGAGGGCGCCATGTCAGACTCTAGGCCTCAGACCTGAAACTCGGGCCGAGCTGAGCCGAGGCCTTCATCAGGACTCGCCCTCACCGGGACATCAGAGGCCGGTGCTCCCTCTCTCTACCCCTCTCTCGATTATCTCTATCTCTCTCTGTCTCTCCCTCTCTATCTCTATCCCTCTCTCTATTATCTCTCTCTGTCTCTCCCTCTCTATCTCTATCCCTCTCTTTATTATCTCTCTCTATCTCTATCCCTCTCTATCTCTATCCCTCTCTCTATTATCTCTATCTCTCTCTGTCTCTCCCTCTCTATCTCTATCCCTCTCTCTATTATCTCTATCTCTCTCTGTCTCTCCCTCTCTATCTCTATCCCTCTCTCTATTATCTCTATCTCTCTCTGTCTCTCCCTCTCTACCTCTATCCCTCTCTCTATTATCTCTATCTCTCTCTGTCTCTCCCTCTCTACCTCTATCCCTCTCTCTATTATCTCTCTCTGTCTCTCCCTCTCTATCTCTATCCCTCTCTTTATTATCTCTCTCTATCTCTATCCCTCTCTGTCTCTATCCCTCTCTCTATTATCTCTCTCTATCAATCTCTGTCTCTCTATCTCTCTCTTTCTCTGTCTCTCTATTATCTATCTCTTCTCTCTCTCTATCTCTCTGTTATCTCTCTCTCTCTCTATTTATCTCTGTGTCTATCTTTGTCTCTCTGTCTCTTTATCTTGTCTCTCTCTCTATTTGTCTCTATCTCTTTATCTGGTCTCTCTCTCTATCTGTCTCTATCTCTCTCTCTCTCTATCTTTGTCTCTTTATCTGTATCTCTCTCCATCTATCTCTGACTCTCTCTCTCTCTCTGCATCTTTCTCTCTCTCTCTCTCTCTCTCTCTCCAGGGTCCCCAGAACCCTTCATATATATTTAAATATATATTATATAATATATACATGTTATGTATGTATTTTGTCTTCAAAGGTTTCTGTTGATTTCCCTCTCGTGCACAGTCCTTGCGTGTTTAAAATTGTGAAAAGGTTAGTTTGTGTGAGTGTGTGTGGGGAGGGAAGAGAAGAGAGAGAGAGTGTGGGGGGGGGGATAGAGAGAAAGAGAGAGAGAGTGTGTGGGGGATAGAAAGAAAAGAGAGAGAGAGAGTGTGGGGGGGGATAGAGAGAAAAGAGAGAGAGAGTGTGTGTGTGGGGGGGGATAGAGAGAAAGAGAGAGAGAGTGTGTGGGGGATAGAAAGAAAAGAGAGAGAGAGAGAGTGTGGGGGGGGGATAGAGAGAAAAGAGAGAGTGTGTGGGGTGGGGGGGAGAGAGAGAGTGGGGGGGCATAGAGAGAAAAGAGAGAGAGTGTATGGGGGATAGAAAGAAAAGAGAGAGAGAGAGTGTGGGGGGGATAGAGAGAAAAGAGAGAGAGAGAGTGTGTGGGGGGGTATAGAGAGAAAAGAGAGAGAGAGAGTGTGTGCGGTGGGGATAGAGAGAAAAGAGAGAGAGAGTGTATGGGGGATAGAAAGAAAAGAGAGAGAGAGTGTGGGGGGGGGGCGATAGAGAGAAAAGAGAGAGAGAATGTGGGGGGGATAGAGAGAGGAAAGAGTGTGTGTGGGGAGGAGAGAGAGACTATGTGGGGAGGATAGAGAGAAAATGAGAGAGAGAGTGTGGGGAGGAGAGAAGAGAGAGAGAGAGGGTGTGTGTGTGTGTGGGGGGGGGAGGAGAGAGAGAGAGTGTATGTGTATGTTTACTTAGATTAATGTCTATGATAGCTGCTGCTTCCTTTGCCCAGGCTTTGTTACAGAAAGGAGATATTGTGTGTGTTTGTGTGTTTTTACCTCCAATGAACAAAATCCCGACAGTGCTTTATTCTATTCACATTTGTCACAAAACACTAAACTTTTAAGCTCCACAAACGAATATAAAAATTCTTTGATGTTTATACTCTAAACATTTGGGATCGTTCCTTCCAAAAAGTGCTTTCACTTTTGACTGTGCTGTATATTAAACAGTATGTACAGTGTATACTCTTCAATGGGATTATGAAAACTAATAAGATTGTCTTTTAAACAAGAAAGTCAGGGACTATGCTTGAAACAGTCAGCGATGAAGAGCAGCAGTGAGTTTACAGATTATTACTTGATGTTAAACGTTTCAGATTCTGGTACGACCAAAAATTACCAACAAAACAATTCTGGCGTAGCAAGGCAATAGAGATGTCATTGCAATGAAATAAAACAAGATGGGTGTAAAGAGAAATGAGGATAGAGTCGAAATAAATATTTATATCTGTTCAGTTGTGGAGATCTCAAAAACCTACCATCTAGCAACTGATTGAAGTGTGTTTCAAATTATGTTTAACTTCCATGCACTGCCACTATCAAATTATTTCATGTGATGGGGATTGTAAAATCTTGCGTTTGGGTCTGATCTAAGCTGCCGCTCCAATGCAACGTTGGATTGTTGGCGGTGCTGACTTTAAACCAAGATGCAATCTGCCTGATCAGATTGCTTTGAAGAACCCACAACAACGCTACTGTGTTTGAAAGGAGATGGGAGCTTTTCTTTGTCCTGGCCAGCAATTCTCCAGGTTATTGGCCATTCATCTCCTGGCTATTTGTCGGACATTCTGCGTACAAATTGGCTGTCACGTTAGCCTACAAATGCGCAGTCACTACATTTTACAAAAAAAAATGCTGTTGTGAAGCACTCTGAGATGTTCCATTGTTTGTGATAGAGCGCTATATCAAATGCAAGGGTTATTTTTGTTATAGATTTTTTTAAAAATTGACCAGAAGTACTTTTCTTAGAGGTGAATAAGAAATTTTAGTTTTCCCCCCAATGCTTGTTTCGGTTTCAGTGGTTAGGTGGGTGCTCTTTTTTAAAAAAAATTGTAAATCTACTTTAAAATGATGGACTAACCCCAATGTTTCAGCTCAGCTTTTTTTTTAAACCCATGTGCATTATTGTACAGTATTCATTCAAGTGTCTCTTGCAGTCAGAATCTTTTATGAATATAGCAAATTACATTTAATGTGACTGAACCTGTATTCATTTCAGAATGGTGCAATTTTGTTTCTACTTTTGGAATATAATAATTACACTATATGATTAATGGAATGAAATCATCCACTGCTTATTCCAGCCAAATACTCTGTTCATAATATAATGCAAGGTGTCTGTTTTTCAGTCTATCTGTTAACGTTGATGTCATACTTTTCCTTTCTTTCATTGTGAGTTTATGAAAATTGTGAATATCAAAGTTGCTTTAGATCAATTAACTTTAGTTCCATAAACCAAAATGTAATGTGTTTAAAAGAAAAATAATTGAATGAGCTTTGGTTGGTAATGCAGACACTTATCCTGAGTTAAGCAGCAGTCTGTTTTGGGAACACTTTAATTTGAAGAATTACCACCCAGTATGTTAATTGAAAGATTTTCCGGTAATAGTGTAGAATAATGAAACCTGTCAGTCAGTCTGTGTCTCTGGAACAGTTGGATATGTAGATCACTGGACATGCAGTTCCTTGTCATCATTCTTGCTTCTGAGACTGAGTCTGTCTTCATATATCTCTTGATTCAGTGCAAGAAATTAAATTATTAAGAGTACTACTGTAGGGCATTCAAATAGTTTGCAAGCAATTTTCTAACACAATTTTACAGTATTTCAAATTTTTTAAAGGAATTTCAGTTAAGTAGAAAGCTAGAATATTTTGAACTTTTATAAAATTTAAAACTGGTGTTAAATTGCCTTCAAATTCACTTAGTCTTTTTAAGTATTTAGCACCTAATAATGTAAGATTAAGAGTTACATTATCCGATTAAATATGAACTTGTGCTAAGACCAATAACCTAGATATGAATTTGTTGACAGGCATGTTGTTGAAGGATGTGTTGCTATGTATAAATAAATTCAGAAGCATTAAGACCATATTTGAAAGTAAATCATGGCACTTGGTGATTTGAGCTACAGTTGAATAATATTCAGTATTCTAGACTGTGCCAAAGGCTTAATATTCAGTTGGTATTGGCATTCCAAGGTGAGCAATAATGTCACTATGGTCAAAGCTCATGTAGTTGATTGATAGGGCAGTTTATTTATTCCATATAATAAGTAGGTTATTGGATCTTTGCACCTCTCAATATGGGTTCCTGACTTCCATACAAATGTGGCATAACATACAAATGTTCCATAACAAACCTTCCAGAGGCAAACTTATTTAATAATAATATTTGTTTTTATGTTAGTCATAAAATTAGTTAGCCAAAAAACGTATCTGTTAGATTGCCATAAGCCATTCAATCCATTAAATTAAGTGATATTAAGTGACACAGCACCATATTTTATTTGTGAACTTATTAGTCATGAAAATATTTCATCACAATCCGTATTAGCAGTTCATGATTTGACACAGCAGGCTCAGTTCTTTACATTCACCTTGGTGCAGATGAGATGCTTGAAATGACGGTCTGCTTCCAGGAATTTTCCAACCTTAACAAAATGGATTCTACCCTAGTCACTATTCGGACTCAAATCTTTGATTGCACAATTGACGTGGAAATCTGAACTTTTCTAGATGTTCTTCATTATTAGAAATTCTGTTCCAGAATATAGCTCCTCTTTAGGAGTTTCAGTCAGTCATGAATCATTTTTAAGGGATCCATTTTACTTGCCCTCAATGGGAGCGGTGAACACGTACGTGCAAGTAACCATGATTAGGATATGCCTTTTTAATAATTTAGTGTATCCCTGAGCATGCCTCCTTGTGCCCTGTCTCAGGGTCAGATTGGAGTGAGAGATAGAATAATGAGCTTATTGTGTCTTGTCACTGTACCAGGCACTGCCTGTAAAAGTGGGTCAGGCTGCAGATGGGTGAGAACGTGCAGCTGTTTGTGTTTGGCCCATCGACATTCAAAATGCCACCACGTGCTGGGTAACTCCAGCACGAGCTCACTCGAAGTTTCCTGAAAAGTCTTCTCAATTCTTTTTGTTTGACAGATTGTTTGTTTGTGGTCACACCAGGAGTTATATTAATTACTATTTATAGCAGATAACCAAGTGCGACTCTTCTGATTATTGTAATTGTTTTGTTTTCCTTTTCTGCAGTGCTGAGCACATTGGGGGAAAATGGGAGCATTTCTGGACAAGCCAAAGATGGAAAAACATAACGCCCATGGCGAGGGGAATGGTTTGCGATACGCGCTGAGCAGCATGCAGGGATGGCGAATTGAAATGGAGGATGCGCATACATCAGTCATTGGCCTACCCCATGGACTTGAATCTTGGTCCTTTTTTGCAGTCTATGACGGACATGCGGGATCCCAAGTTGCCAGATATTGCTGCGAGCATTTGTTAGATCACATCACCAACAATCAGGATTTCAGAGTCCCTGGGGCTGTAGCTGAACCCACCACAGAAGATGTAAAAATTGGAATCCGAACAGGTTTCCTGGAGATAGATGAGCACATGCGAACAATCTCTGAGAAGAAGCATGGATCAGACAGAAGTGGATCAACTGCAGTCGGCGTCATGGTTTCACCCAAGCACACTTACTTCATCAACTGTGGAGACTCTCGAGGCTTGTTGTGCAGGAGTGGGCAGGTTCATTTCTTCACACAAGATCACAAACCAAACAATCCACTGGAGAAAGAGCGCATCCAGAATGCTGGTGGTTCAGTGATGATTCAGCGCGTCAATGGTTCCCTTGCTGTGTCAAGGGCTCTTGGAGACTTCGATTACAAGTGCGTGCACGGAAAGGGTCCAACGGAGCAACTAGTCTCACCAGAGCCTGAGGTTTATGCAATCGAGAGAACAGACGAAGACCAGTTCATAATCCTAGCATGTGATGGTATCTGGGATGTCATGGCGAACGAAGAGATCTGCGATTTTGTCAAATCCAGGCTAGAAGTCACTGACGACCTTGAGAAAGTTTGTAACCAGATTGTCGATACGTGCTTATACAAGGTATATAGAGTTTGTTTTTGTTCATTTCAGTCTTCCTTCCTTTGATTTTTTTTTAATATTTTGGTGAAAATAACCTTCAAAAACCATTTATGCCGACTAAATTTAGTCTGTGTTCCTGAATTCCACCTTCCAACGTGAATAGCTTGATATATTAGACACGATTGTGTTGCTCCCTGCAAGTATTGATACTGTGCACTCTGATATATACTTATTGTCGTTAAGCGTTCTCTTCATGACACCTCATTGATTTATTAGTCTGAAATTGACTTTTTACAAAAATAAATGCACAATTGTTCTTGTACAACAACCTTCAGTATGATCTTGACATCAAGGCATAGAAGATCTGGTTAATCCTGTGACACAGTGTATAATTATGGAGTGTTAGTGTGGGTGTGTGATCACGTGATGGGGAGATATTGAAAGGAGGCAAGGAGCTTCTCTGCAGGGAGGGAGGAAAGCAAATTAGAAGATGAGTCACAGTATTTGCTTACTGAGCACTATCAGCAAATTCTGACGTCAAGTAGCCTATGGTACAGGGTGACCAAAAAGTCGTGGAAACTACCCTATTATCTTTAAAAACAACAAAAATATCATCTTTTCTTTAAGACTTATTAAACATTTTAATGATATCATGACATTTGGTCACCCTGTAAAATGAAAATCTGCAATACGTATGTAATGTCACTGATTGTGGGTCATGTTTTGAATTATAAAGTTACCCCTATACAACAGTTGCTGTGATTATGCCAAAGTTTGTGAAGCTCATTTTCAGTTTATTTAAAAAACGGGGGTTTGGCTGATCAACACACATTATCCACAGGTTCTGCTTTCTTTATTTTGGAATTGAAAAGACTCAAGGGAGGGTCTCAGGCATATTTTCTTCAAAGTTCTTCTTGGTTTTATAGTAAAATAATATATTCAAGAGAATTTTGTTGCATCTTTTCATTTATTTTTTAAAAAAAGGTTAATTTTCTCAAATGTGTGAGAACAACGAACATGGCCTCCCTCCCTGCTGGGCTGCTCTGGTGATGTTGCCAATGTAGAGAGAGTTCCCGTGCATGCAGGAGCTGGGCGAAACTAGGAAATTGCTGTAGGCTGGGGAATCTGTATTCCTGTTTGAAGTTGGCTTGACGTTATATAGAGTTGCTGTTTCCTATGGAGCCCCTCCTGGAAGTACAGGAATATTCCCTGTTGTTGATCTCACCGGAGCAGCATAGCAAGGAGGGAGACCTCACTAGAGGTCTCCATGCTGGTAAGAAAATTGACCATCATTATCATAAATTGGGGGGTACAATATTTTGAACAGAATGCAGTCTCCCTCCCTCTTCCTTCCAACCTCCTCGCCCTCCAGCTCTCTCCGATCCCAACCTCCAGCTTGGGTGCAAACCCCTCATTGTCCAGGGTCATGGGATGTCCTCCTGACACGAAAGGAGATATATAAAGCTGTATAAGTTGTTGTTGTTCTTTGCCCTTTAATGTCAGTTAAGAATTCTAACAAATGTAAACTAAAATATAATTTTGTTCCATACTTTCATTTCAAAAAAATCTTTAGGGATGAGATACTGACCAGGTTTGGAATTTGGTGAAGTGTAACCGTGACCATATCACTACATGAACATTAGCCTGTATACCAACCTTTAAGAATTAATTTATATTTTTAAAATATTTATCTAGTTTATTTCCCAGCTACTATCTTTTCCCGCCTTTTAAATTTCTTGCTTTGTTTGTACCTTTTTCCATTTGAATATTTAGTTGTTTCTTCGTTTTTTCACTTTCATCCCTCACCGCGCTCAAACTATTGATTGGCGGCTTATTTTATTTAATTCCGTTTGTCTTGACCATATAATCTAATTACAGTATTTCTCTCCACTACCTCTACAGGTTGAGAGTGGATTTCATGCTAGTGGAAGTGGAGTTTACCCATATTCCTCAGCGAGAGTGAAACTGCTGTGTAATCACCATAGGTTATAAATCTGTTTCCCTTATCGCTGAGCTGTAAGGGTAAGCTCTGTGTCCACTGTTATGAAACTGACTAACATTTAGCAGCACTGATAATGGGATTGTGCAGTGGCATGTGTCGGATCATGTAGCCCGGGGAGCGGAGTCTGGAGCATTAAGCATATCTGGTGATGTGTGGTCTTTCTACAGTTGATGCACTTATTGTGCCTGATGACAACTTTGTTGACAGCAGAAGGCGTCTTGGTGCTTTTTTTGGAAATCACTTGAGATGTGACAATGCCTTGCCCAATGTAACATGCAGTTCTACGATATAATTCATCATTTGGGCATTGGAGCAGCAATATAGCAGGTGACAGAGTGAGGGATTGAGGGATGTTGAGATTCGGGATGGAAAGGCAGTTGGTTTAATTAGTGACAACATCATGCAATGCAGTTTTTTTAAAAACTGGCTCAGTGAAATAAGGGTTTTCAGTTGAGTAGAAAACCTTTAATTCACTATATTGGTATTGAGATAAGGTGTTCTCTAGCAGGACGAGGAATATTCTATTCTGCTGTAGACCAATCTGACCTTAATGCCAGACTCAGAAGAGCACCTTTACTGTTCCAATTTAAAATCATCCATTTCCTACACCAACAATAACTCAAGCCCCATTGAGTAAAATTGTCAGTCTAGTATATTGTTGTGGCTGGTTTTCTGCTGTGTCGCTAGGCCTAGTGATAATGGGATTGAACCTGACCAAGCTTATTGCTATTGGTGCTGGTCCAGGAAGAGTTTGGAGAAGTCATCTCATCAGTCTAAGCTACATTCAAACACAAACTCCCAGACTAAACAGTCCCAGTTAAACCTTCATGTGCATAACACAGTATACCAGTGATTAAGAAATTGCTTTAAAGTCAGGGCTAGTCAATGAAAATTTAAAAGCAAGCATAAACTTTTTTCGCTTTTTTTCACTTTATTTTTTATTGCACACATTCCAATTTTGAAAAGAATACTTACAGAATCATATTTAATTATGCTCATTCTGTCTGGATCCTTGTCGAATGAAGGCTTGGGTATTGGCTTACACTATATAAGTCCATGTTTTATTTTGTTCGGTCATTTTTAATCATTTGAAGAGCAGTGGCAAAGATTTTACACTTGTCACGTAATGTGTCACTCACGAGTACTAGCTTTGTCGTAAAATGTACCTTCAGGCATTTTTTTAATCTTCAAAGTGTTCCTGTTCAATGTTTAATCAATTATCTAATGAACGTTGTTTTGGCTAGTAGTTTTATGTTGGCTATTTCCAGGATTCGGTAATACAACAAATCCATTTGTATCTATAGAGTGGTAAATTAATTTTTTTTGAAGATTAGATACATTAAAATTCATTCCTTTACTAATATGAATTCTGTAGTTTGTAAATGAATTAGAATACTGTGAATTCATCCAGACTTTTGTGCTTCTCTTTCTCTTCAGTCGAAGGTAGATGTGATTTACCTACTCAATCGAGTTAAATTAAGTAAATTTGGATAGTAAATCTGTCGTGGTCTTATGGTGCTCTATTTATATTTTTAAAAAATGCTGCACAGAATTCAAGATGGTCTACTGAATTTGTACAAAAGATTGCGTCCACAGCATTAAAGCGTCATGCTGATTTCACTGATTTCAAATCTGGCAGAAGGAATTCTGATTTTCGCAACCTATCGTCCAACAAATCTATTTTATGAGTACAAGCTCACAGTAGAAACAAACCATTAGATGGGCACTGGTTGAGTCGCTCACAAGTAGTTCACTGGATGTGGAAATGGTAATTGGTGCAAGGGTGGTCTTCTGAGGCACATTTTCAGGGCAAAATGCAGGGAGTTTTATGCTGTGCCTATTTGTGTTGTCCATGACAAGATATTGCTTGATGCTGCTTAAAGCTCTCCGGGATGCTACCCCGCGTGAAGGGTGCTATGTAAATGCAAGTTGTTTTCATTGCATGCCCCAAATGGGAAAGTGTTCGGTTTCACAGCACTGCTGTCTTATATAACTTTTTAGATGCTTTATAACTTTTTAATTCTATCAAAAAAAGCAGAATAAATTAAAGGTACATTTAAGATTTTGGAGACAGCATTTTAAAAAGAATACTGAAATGAAACGACTGCTAGTTTAACAGTAGACGTCTTAATGCATTTTTTTTTCTCCAACAGGGGAGTCGAGACAATATGAGTGTCATATTGATTTGCTTTCCAAATGCGCCAAAAGTATCCCCTGAAGCGGTGAAGAGAGAGGCTGACCTGGACAAATATTTGGAGAACAAAGTGGAAGGTGGAGCATCTAAAAAAACACTAGCTGCTAAGTAAAATAACTTAAAATTAAACCATGTTAACCCTCTAAGTTCATTAACATAAACTAGGCAACCAAATTCTGTAGATCTCTATCTGTTGTTGCTCTGTGATGAACTTAGTACTTCATAGTACTGTCCACCACTGCCTGATAAATTTTCGTACAGCTTGACTTTTTAGAATGACACTCTTAAATCCACTTTCTCTGTTGCGTCTTAAATACAAATCTGAACTTAGAGGGATAACTGCTACATAAACTAAAGCCTTCAGATGCATATCTTGTAGAGTAGCCAGAGGTGGGTTATTTTGTTAGCATTTGACATTCAATTTAGAGGGATATTTTTACTTATTGAAGAACTAACCCCAATAACTGTAAATTTGTTGCAAGGTTAAGTGCCATTGTAGGTTTTGGGTTCAATTTTAACATTGCTGCTTGTGTCATGAACTACTATTCGTTTAACCCAGGTTTTCGAAGGATGCCTTAGTTCTGAAGCAACAAAATAGACGTGCCTGGAAGTACTGCTGCTTTACTTCTGCCAACCAAAAATGGAATTGTGGCTTTTTTTGTATATAATTGTATAATATTGTATTTAATATTAGTGTTGCACATGGTTGCAGCAGAACATCCTGTCAACAGCAGGAAATTATGCACTAAGGCATCCTGGGCACAACTCTGCCAGTTTTGAAAGGACGTTAGTGGCATTGCTGCAGGTCTCAAGAACTTGGGTGAACTATGTACAGTTTCTGACATTTGCATAGCCAGGCAAGAAAAAAAATTACAATAAGTAATTTAGTTTATCCACACTTAATAGTTATTGGGGATGATTCGTTCATTACGTCTCCATGTTTGGAGAACTACAATGCCAAATGTTGTTCAAGAGTACTGCAAAGTCACTTAATCTTAGTATTTAGAAACCTTGATTGATTTTTTTTTAAAAAAGATGAAACCAGCCTGGTAGTTTAAGTAGTATAGATTATTATTTAGAGGACTTAGGTTCAAATCCCAGCCTCAACTGTGATTTGACCTTAGTTGCCCACTGACTAGCTGAATAGTGGTGTATTTGCATGGGGGTTATGTGGAGTGTGGAAAATTAACAGGAAAATATTGTTTTTGAATGCATGTCCGAAAGACAAATCTGGAGCAGTACTAATCTGGAACAGCATTTGACTGCCCACAACTTCCAGGATGAAATCATAATGCAGAGAACTACGAAGGCAGTGAAAGAGATAGCTGGGGAGCATCATGCTTTGTTTTGCTCATTTATAAAAATGACAAATCTAGTTATATATCCAAAAGTAGAATGTTTCATACTTTGATCGCAATGAATATTTGCTTCTTAACCATTCCACATGTTGTGCTGCCTTACCTGTAAAGTTGAAGTTAGTGCCGAACTTCGATTTTTACTTGTAAAATTGTCAGTTTCCTTATAGTGTGAACAGAATTTTTCCGTTTGCAAGGAGCTTGAGAGTGATTGTATGAATAAGTGGATAAATGAATTTTTCTAGAATTGAGAGGAAATATTTTGGTATCAGGCAATAGTCAAAGCCAGGCTATATTTACATGAGTGTATTGCTAAGCCTTGGCTGGTTTTAATGAGACAAAAACTCCCTTTTAACTGACATTTTTATACCCAGAAGAATCGCTTCTTACTTGAAATTTCTCCTTTGTTTGTATTATATTTGAATGTTGTGTACAATACAATCTGTCATTTTAAAAAAGCTTCAGGTAATGAATAAAACTGACATGGAAAACCAGAGTTACATAATGCTCAAAGTTATTAAAAGCAGAAGCCAGGAATTTAGACACAATAATTATAAACAGCATTTATTGTCCAAAGATGACTCATTCTTAGTTTCAATATCAGATTATTGAAAACCTCGCATTGGCTGTTAGCCATTTGGTTGTACATTTGAGACCTAGCTAAGGAAATACAGAGTAATTTAGCCAAAATTATTGACTTAAAATTTGATTGTTTACATATGCTGATTGATTCAGTTTTTTTTAAAGTAGGTGTGCCATTAAACCCAACTATAATCTGGTTGTAGCTTTTTCCTCAATTTACTGACGAGTGTTTTATTTACAAGAGCTGGAATTTTTAATCCTCCAGGATAATAGTCTTAGATTATTGTTTTTAGAGTTACATTATTATTGACATATATAGGTTACAAATAACGGAACGCAAAATGAATTCAGTTTACCAAGCATTTGGTTTTATGATACGAAAGGTGGTGGTAAAGAAATGCCATAATTTCATGAAAATATTTCTGGGACATTTTTTATATTAAAATGTTCAAAGTATGGGTTTGTTTAAATACAATTTTCTGTTCATGTTTTGTCAGTTCTAATTCCTCTATAGTAGTACTTAGTTTTATATACTATGTATTGTAATCTATGTTGAATATGTACTGATGGATTTCTGGAGCAGTCTCACACATGCATATACGTGTAGTTTATACAGAATTTATACAGAATTTTTGCCTCAGCCTTGGGGATTGTGGCAAAGGAAGGGGTGTGGGGGGAGTGAGGAAATAACATGAAATGTTCAGATTTGTATTCAGTATCCTGACTGACAAATCGCCCCCGACCCCTGAATAAATATGATCATTCAACATGCATTTCATAACTTAATGGGACATTACAGTGTGCAAATTGGCTGCTGTAATCGCTTACAGGCGCACAGTTACTGCACTTTACAGTAAAATCCTGTGAAGCCCTTTAAAATATTTGAAATATTTCAACAAAATAAGATGCTATATCAAATTCAAGAATTAATCTCATTATACAGTTCTGTCAATATTTAACTAAAATGTAAATGAAAATGGGACAGAATATGCCTCTGGGTATTATGTGGTTATAACATTGTTGTAATTGGAACAGATTTGCAGGTGTAATGAGACCAGTTTGGATGGGAATATATGTTCAATTTGTTCCCCGAATTTTCCTTGATGACAGATACTATTTTACTGATATCAACTGGAGTGATTGAAACAGATTTTCATTCAGTTTGTTGTGTCCTCAAACAATGCCAGGGTATTAATGAGAAATGCCTTAAGACTGTACATCTGAAAAAATGTATCAGGAACATGTGGCGAGAAGGTGTAGATTGATATCACGCAGCTTTAATGGTGGGTTATCGGTGTACAGTTCATATTCATTTAAACAGTTTAAATTTTGCTTCTAAATAAGTAGAGGTGGGGGCTATTTTTGTGAAATTATGGTATTAAAATATAAGCTAAATTTTATAATGCTTGTCCAACAATCCTCTGTTGGAGCATTTTACTAGCTACATTCCTATTGACCACTGTTACAATTCCTTTTCTTTAAATACTTTAGGTGCGTTTGCTTACCTGAATGTCAATCCTGTTTAAATGCTTCATGCTTGGACTGTGTGCTTGAGAGCTACTGAGCTTTATAATAGATCAATGCATGAACAATGCACACGTGAATCTCTTGAGACCACAGTGAGGCACTAATGAATAGAAATGTGTGCGTTATTGAGGGATAATGCACAGTGAGCTCTGCCTGGATCATTGTGCAAATAGAGACGTGTATTGTGTAATGAATAATGCACACCTTCTGGTTCATTCTTGTTATTTATATAATGCCTTGGGAAGGATCTTTGAACGTTCATTTTCTACCATGTAATGGTGGAAGGAAGGCCTCTCAAAATATTTTTTTCTTTAAATAAACTCTTGCTAGTGTCAAATTTACAAATTGTCCCCTGACACCAGACCTTTGACAGTGCCATTTCAGAGAAGTGTAATTTGGCTATTGGCGTTCTTATGAGTTTGTTCTCATGCCTTGGCCAACTTTGGGAATTTCTTTTGTGAGAAACCTTGTATTTTGCCACTAAATGATGCAGTACGTTTATATAACTGACAATACCACTAAGACGCCTTCACTTTATAGGCTTCTCATTTTAGTACAACCACACTTTTTATTTGGTGCTCATAGATCTGTGTGTTTGGTGCTTTTCATTAATAAGAATTTATTTTTGTTTTAGCATTTTTTTCCCCTCTTTTGTCCTGCCCACTGGGCAGGTATATTTTATGTTTCACAAATCTTTATAAATGATGAATTAATAGGAATTTTAAATGCTGATTTTGCAAACAATGGCATTATATAATGTACTTTATTATTGGTGATGGTATTTTTATTATAATGACACTTTAACTATTTTGAAATACATAAAGGGACCATATGGATTGGAACATTGGAAATGCACATAGGGAGGCAATAAAGTGGTGATAAGTTTCCCACAAATTATACCTGTTGTATTCAAATTTTATTCTGTGCAAGTGCCGTTAGTGTCCCTTGTATGTGCTTATGTGTCCAGTGACTAGCAATTTGTTTGACTTTTTGTAGAAGAAAAGATGAGGTAATAAATCTACCACGCTACACTGTCATCTTGTCTCTACAGCATCAGTCAAATCAGACTGTAAGAAGATATTTGAGAAAATAGATTGTGACAGAAGTGTAATGTCACTTGCTTAATGTTTGCAAACAATCACTAGTGTCACTATCATCTGATAATACAGTATACATAATATCGAGTAGTTTAGTACTGGTTTAAATATATGAGTAGTAAGTAGCTGTAAATCTTTTATTTTTGTATAGTAAATTATACAAGTAGGATTATAAAACTATTACTGATGTAGAATAATATGTTAGACATATTTATAAAGTTATATGTTAAAAGTTATTCTAATAAAGACATTTACTGAATCAATTCTGAGATCTTTGGATTTTTTTTATTTGACCTAAAAATTTAGGAAGCAGATAGTGTATTTCACTACACTGTTCTGACAGCTAGTCCTAATTAGTGCTGACATTTTTTGTTTAATAAATCTGTTCTGTTAACAGTTACATATGCTTCCACCAATAAGGCTTCTCTTCATTCATTTGTTTTAACAACTGCATTTTTTTTAGCAGTTTTGGTCAATATTGAGAAACAGACCCATTGATTGATTATGCTGTTAATTGCAAAACTGATTAATTCTAATAAACTTTTTTTAAAAAATGCACCGTTTGTTCAAGTGTTAAGATGATTATGCTATCTGAATTCAACCATTACGTCCTGTTAGCAGAGTTCCAGTGTTGTACTCTCTAGTGAACTCTGCAAATATTCCATCTAATGGTTGTCACAGGACTATTGCCTTTATGGTTAGTTCAGAATGAACTACATCAAGTGTGTTTGATACAGTACATTGATATTTCACAATGCCAAATGTGTTTGTTTTTGGAGTGATTCAAATTTTGGTGTGTGTGGTTTATATACATATGATTTTAATATGCTCAGTCCACTGACCTGGAAGTCCTTCTGATTCCTCAGAGATCTTTGAGCAGCAGGTTGCTGAAGGAGTACCAGATCTAATCCACGTGATGCGTACGTTGGCTTCGGAAAGCATCCCAAACCTTCCACCTGGAGGTGAACTGGCGAGCAAGTGAGTGTACAATGTGTGGAATTGTGACCTTATAACTAAAATTCTGTTTGCTTTGGTGAACTTAACTTTGGGCTGCCAATCTGCAAAGATTTTTCAGTGCTGATCACTAATTGTATAGGGATATGGGATGAAAAGTTCATGTGAAAAATTAAAACTGTAGTGTTCTTTTCGTTCTGGCTAAAGTGGCTTAATAATAATAATAATCCTTGCATTTGATATAGCGCTTTTCACATCTTCTAAACGTCTCAAAGCGCTTCACAGAATATACTGTAAAGTGAATTGACCGTATATTTGTGGGTGAAACGTGGCAGCCAATTGCGCACAGAAGTGTCCCACAAACAGTGGTGGATTGAAAATGCCCAATTTATTATTATTTTGGGTTTTGGAGGGATTATTATTAGGCTGTGTGTGGAGTAAGGAAACTTGCCCAGGGTTTCGCCCTCTGCCTGGAATTGAACCCAGGTGTCTCGCTTGCAAGGCGAGCGCTCTAACCATTGAGCTACAGGACTCCACAAACATAAATATTTGTTATTTCATACTCATCATTATTTACGGCATAAATAAATTAACTGAAATGCAAATAACTACATCTTACAATAAATACTGTGAAGCACTTTGAGACGTCGTCTTGATGTAAATGCTCCTATATCAAGTGTAAAGATTATTATTAGTTAATATGTCAGTATTTTGAGTTAAACACGTACCAAAGTATTCCTTGAAGTATAATGTGTTTGAATGTTTTGAGATCATTCCTTATGACATGCTTTTCATTTAGTACATTATATTCGTATTCATTCATATACCCAGTAAAGATATCTACTTGAGGCTGAAAATTTAACTTACATTTTCATTGAAACATACACGTGTAACTTGGTGTATACAGGATGTTCCTGGTTCTGCTCATTTGCAGGAACTGAAATGCTTCAGCAAGCTTCGAACACCTTTTCAAGTCTTCTGTAATGCTGCAGGTGAAATGAACAGTATTAAATTTAGTGGTAATCAAAGTGTTAACTACACACAAAAGGTGTAATAGTGTAAAACTGCAATGCCAACTTTTTGAGTGAAAATGGTCTGGATTAAATTCAAAAGTACTCTTAAACGAGGCAAAGATGTAATCTGTTAAAAAAATAACATCTAAAATAAAGCTCCCATCCCACAGTGATGCTTACTTTTGTGAATACTGTTTAAGAAGCAAGATAGCATCTCTGAAAATTATTTTGACATTTGTCAATGTTTGTGGAACATCTATTGGTAGGTAACTTGTTCCCCATTGAGAACTAATTTACTGTGGCAATTTATGAACGTTGAAATAAAATTGTGAAGTCAATGTGGTTTGCCACAGAAAGGCAACCAAAATACGTACGGTTCCTCTAACTGTGGTGTTTTCGTTTCCTACCAATAATGGGTCTCAATATAGAGGCATTCAATCTTCACAGTATCTCAAATATCAATAAAACTGCTACAAACCATCCCTATTTCAACAATATGAAATTAGCACTCGAATCCTCGAATGGACCTCAAGTTCACTGAAGATAACACATGATTCTGTATAGCGAAATAATCCATATTTTCAAAATGGATTGCTGCTAACATACACAGAGCACTGGTTCCCTTCATTTTGACTCTTATCTAAAGCCTGAGATAGGTCAAAAAANGGTTATGGATGATTCACGATGCTCAAAAGCCTTAGTTTTAAGATATAATCTATTAATAATATTTGAAAAAATGTATTTACTAATGTACTTATTTTAAGTTGACACCGTCTCAGGAGCATGAGGCATGAGTAATCCTTTCTGAAGTGTTAACTCGTGCTTTTCTTTGTGTTTTTTTTTAGACGGAATGTTATTGAAGCAGTTTACAGCCGACTGAATCCCTATAGGACTGATACGGTGAGTAGCCACTCGTAACATAAATTGACTTTAAGATGAATGATTTCAATGGAATTTGGAAAATTATGCTATTCGCAAAGTAAGCGTATAAGTTGATATATGTCTTCAGCTTTATGAAGTCTTCTGAAGCCGTTATAGTTTTGGCTAGAAAATAGCTGTTGATCTAACTCGAGCATGGTGTTTCATTGAGCTGTCACAATTTCAAGAGTTATACTCAAAACTAATACTTTGAAGTTCTGAAATGGAATTTAGACGATTTGTAGCTCAAAATGTATTTGAAAGAAAAATTGTTGTCTACCGGTTCCTTTATTTTAAGTTGTAGCATGATAAAAATGTAAGTCGATTGGGCGGGGTGGGGGGGAATCCACCGCTAGCAGGAAAGGCTTTGGTTACTTTGGAATTGCTTTGAATAGATAATGTACCATAGATGTTTAAATAAATGGCAAACTCTAAAACCAGTCGGTTATTATGACTCTTCACTCTTTGCAGTCTGGATTGTCTGGAAACTGCTGCAGTTTTGGAAACTCCAGACTTTAAAGGGTTTGTACTTGTTTTCTTTGTAAAGGATCATCCATCCTCAGATGAAGTATGGTAGCTGACGACTGGGAGATTTGCATAAACCCACGACCAGGAACATCAAAAATCATCCGTGAATCATGAATCTGCAAAGCGTGATTCGATTTTGCAAAGGGAATTGAAACAGGGTGAGGAAAACAATACCAAAATCCAGTAACCAGCGGTGATTGACCCAGGACACGATTTATTTACAGCATTCAATAATACAGAAGAGCAATCATTTCCACTACAAATTGGGCATTGTTTGTGTGATTTTAATTTTGCTGACTTAAAAGTGCAATTTTGTTTAGTTTTTTTTTCTGCCTGCATTTAATGGAACTTGACCTTCAGATGAGCATAGTGTATGGAAAACAAATACCCTGATGTCCTCTTTTGGCACAGAAGCAACCATTAAGCAATTTGATTTGTCAAATGAAAAAAAAACTCTTATCCAAAGAATTTTTTGTTGCTTTTTTTTTAAATGAATTGACTGAGGTACTTTTCAAGTTGTTTCCCCAATTTCAGAAAAGAATGGTTGGAAAAATGATTCAGTTGTAATTGTTTTCATTTTCATTTGAGGCTTTGAGTTTGCTGAATGAATGCTTACACTTTCAAATAGATTCATGCATCAGACTTGACTTGTAACCTATATATTTCTACAGCCTTATCAAAAGATGGCTTTACACTACTGTGGTTTATTGTATAATGCCATGTGCCTGCGTTTGAAACATCTATTTGAGATGTGTTATGTCATCTTACACCAAGAACGAGTTACTATTTTTTCACAAGATTTTCTTTACCATTTTTCACCTCCCGATCTTTAAATTTTACTCTGTTTTTCCTGCAAACCGTAAACATCATCCAACTGCCCTTCTATCTATGTAAGGGGAGAATACCGAATCACAGATATTGTTTGAGGCAGACATTGGTTCTATTGAGACGTCTCAACGACGTGATAAGGCACTAAATCAAATGCAAGGATTATTATTATTACTACTATTCATTGACTGGATGTGTACTAACTCCAGTGGCAAAGGTAATTTAGTCAGGAGTTTTTCTCTTACCCTGTCAAAAAGACATTCTACTTAACAAGCTTAACAAGCTAATTTGTGGCTGTACATTGAAGCCACAATCCAGTGAACACAAAGTATAGCTGTCAGCATTATTGCTATGCTAATGGACCACCAGAACTGTATTTTCTCCATTGATGACAAATTTATTCAGTAAAAAAAAACTTGTATGCTACCTATTATGAATGAGACCTTTTAATTTACGCTTTCTACTGTATATAGGTAGTGTATTTTGCCAATTACAGGGCTCATATTATGCTACCAATAAGTTAATTCTCCAGGACTGAAAGATTATTACACATCATCAATGCCTTTTTAATTCATCTTAATTTGATATTTGACAATCCATGGCATTATATAATAGCAATAATTTGTTAAAGGATAAATTATGCATTTCAGGGTTAACTTAGGCTAGCCTTGTGTCAAAAATAGTCCCAATATGCCAGACCACTTCATCCAATATTACTTAAATGTCTGGTTATATTTAATGCTTTGTAATTTAAAATATTTGGAAACCAGAATAATTTCTTAGTGTACTGAATCTGTCAGCAACTATTTTCCAACCGTCGTAAACAAAAAATTTACTGAGGTCTATTTCAGGGTGGGAAGGTTTTTATTTAAAATATATTATCCTGAGGACCTGCAGCTAGATGGTACAAATTGTCTAGTGGTAGGTCTGCAGGTTCAATGGGCTTAAATACATGGAAAGGAATTGGTTTTGACACTGGATCAGGTTTCCATATACCACTGTGAACAGACAGTTCAATATATAAAGTGACTGTATCAAATGAGCTTCCAGCTGTATTTATGTTCTGATCTACCAATTGTAGACTTTGACAGTGGATTTTATCTTAGTTTCACCATTGTAAGGAGTTTGCTTTAGTCACCATGGTAAAAGTGACGTAAAGAGCTTGAGCAAAATGGAAATCTAGTGATTGTAAAATGGGTGCTTTATTCTATCGGTAACTACTTTTGGTGCAATGCTATCTGATCATAAGGGATCAACCGGACAATTTGGGAGGGAGGGCAGTTTTATTTTACCATAAATTTCTCAACTTAACTGCAATGAAGGATGAGCAGAATATTTGGATTTGATACGGTGTCTTGATCTTTATTCCCCTAAACCAATAAACACATTTTTCCTGAAATACTGTTGCTTCACTTCACAGTATTTTATCTTGTATAAATGTAAAAATTTGTTAGCATCTTTAGAACACCATTCTTTTCTAAACAGCGTCTTTTTTAAATCTGCCCCTTTCTCTCTTCGCTCCCATTCTTCGCCCCCATTCCCCACCACTCCCCTAACCCTCACCCTCTCCTCATATCAGCAAAATTCATTTCCTCTCTTGTATGGAGGGAAGGGTGGTTTATGTTGCCTTGTTGGCAGACATCTATATCAGAATGTACTTCTGAGGAGAACACATCTGGGAATCTTTTTCCCCTCCCTTCCTTTCAGTTACTCGAAGTTTACTCATAACTGAAGTCAGTGGCGAGTTTAGCCAAGACTAAGCATTATAACATTGAACTTAGCCCTTTGGATTCCATTTTACCACTAGAACGAGAGTATATCAAGAAATGAGATTCAGTTAAAATGCTGTAATACACAGATAATGTTCCAGTGTAGTAAAAGTGATTCCCGACCCATCTGAGACATTTGTGAAATTACTGCAGTCTAAATTTTTTGTTTCTTTACAAAAAAAGACAATTACAAAATTAATCTAGGAGATCAATCTATCAACTTTTAATTATAAATATGAACTTCTCAATAGTTATAGAACTTCTCGATATGTTTTTAAGCCAAGGGTGAATTTTGCTGTACTTGATGTGTGTTACTTGTAGTACAAAAAACCGCTTACAAGTCGGGGAACTTTAAAGGATCATTATTCATTTATGGTGGATTTTCTAATTGAAAGAATTTGAAAAGAATATTTCTCATAGATTAAAATCAAAATAAGAAATGTATTTTTTAAGTATCTGAACCTTTTTAAAATCTGACTTGCATCACATTGTCACTGGCAGCCAGAACTGTGATTTAATAAATTCTTGCACAGTTGAGGCTGAGTTAATAACCTTTGTTGAGTTCAACACACAAGTGGAGCTATGTATTGCATCACCTCATTTTATTATTTAAACTACAAAATATGTTTTGAACTAAAACATTTTAAGAAGCTTTCGCTACCTGGAAAATCGGTTGAAATTGCTTTGCGGTGCTACTTTTTTCATTCAAGGTTAGTCTGCGTACCTGTGGAATTATCAATTGATTTCTCTGCATAAGTGTTATTAAACGTGTTATCGAGTCTCTTTTTGGGTGGGAGGTGGGGAGATCAATGGTTACTGATTTTTAAAAAGGGGATTGTCAATTCAGAACTTTGCTCATCCTTTACTTTGGGGGTTTTAAACTGCTGCAGATGCATTTTGAAGCCGGATGTGTTTTGTTGTCTTTTGGGCAAAATGAGTGGCAGTCGAGTTTGCCTACCGTTGTATAATAAATGTCAAACAAGTGAACTTTCCCACCCTACTGTTGCTTACATTGTGTTGTCAAAAAATGTAACCGTAATCACACCAGTTTGCCTTACTACATTTCTAGGATAGTGTCTGTCCCAGCACATTGTAAAAGAAGGGATTATATCTGTTTGACTTAAGTCTAAAACTTGCCGTGCCTGTCTTTTGAAGAAAGCCTCATGAATTGCCATAAATATTCATCCTCTGTCGGTATATTATTTGTTCGTTCTGTCCATTATCAGGAAGCATTTATGTACCGCTTGACTTTTTTTTTCTATACATGTTTTTTTTGATTCTGGATCCAACGATAAAGGCATGGGAAAAAATATTTTGATGACTGTTTACTTTAGCATAGGAAACAGTTGCATTATCATTGAAAAATAATTTAATTTTTTTTATTGTCAGTTTATCACACACTAGAACACATTTATTGACATGTAGATTGTGTAACAATACTTGCTAAATTATTGTTCACAGCAATTAAACTGCTATTGGAAGTCCAGATTAAGACCGTGTGTTTACAAGACTTGTTAATTGTATATTTTGTATTATGTACTGATCCCAACTCCAAAGGAAATAATGTGTTAATTTAGTTGCTAACTGTGAGATTGTACTATTTGTTTGGAGTCAACTGAACAAATTGCATATGCCTGTGAACTGTTATGCTTGCAGATTGTGTTGGAGGATGAACGTTTGAAATACATTTATGGTTTGAAGAACGGTGCCATTAATTAAAATGTCAGGCAATTGCATTACATTTTTTATGTGCTCATTTACTAGAGTTGAGTTCAAAACAATATAAGTCAGTTGACGAGAAATGTTATGATTTACAATTTGTATGGACTGCTTTTAACATTTGGACTGCCAACCGATCCATGAGACAACTGTCGTAAGGTTTTCTTTTCAGCTCCCACATTTTGATGCTGAACGAAACACTAACATCACAGTAATAAAACGACTCAAATGTCAGGTCTGGCTTTGTTGCTATAACACACCCTAAATAAACATCTAAAATATAATTTTAATTAAACTCCTGATTTCTGCTCAACCGTTTGTATCTCTTTTTCCTTCCTATTTTCTTTCGTTCTAGAACTGTTTTTTAACTTCAAGTGACTTTTTCTTATCTAATTTCCCTTTGAATAATTTTGCTTTATGCCTTATTTTCTCAAAACTCAACGTTGATCCTTTTGCTTACCTAGTTTATGTTTTGTCATGGTTAAAGAAACTGGGGTTCGTTGTTTGAAAATGTAAGTTTGGTTTCAATAACGGTTGTCAATGTAACATTTTCCATCACCAAACAGGAAAAACTGAATTATTAGAGGGTCCCTCAGAGAAACAGCATTCAAACCAAGATAGTTGTTAGAGGCAACTGTGGAATTGGAGTGGTAGCCAAGATATTCCACATAAGGGTATGTATCTGGACTAATCAGTGGTGAATTAAATTCAATGCTGATTTAAATTTAAATTTGAATTCTAGCGCATACGGGAAGTAACAGTAGGAGGCACATGTACTTTTAATTATACTCATCCGTGGCATGACAAAAATGAATGTGCCTTAAGCAATTGGTTATTCTTTTTGCATCTGAATCTAAACTAAACCAACATGCAAATGCTCCTTGAATGTAAAAAAAATTATAATGATCCTTTGAGAAGGAGCCATCCACATTGATAGGTATCACGTGGTCTGTGAAAGGTGCATATGACCATCGAGTGGTTGGGGAGTGACCTGCATGAAGACTCCAGTTTGCTGCAGTTTTTGTTTTGAATCTGCATCTGTCAACACTAGAGGTTGCTGAAGGATTTTAGGTCATAACTTGTCATGAAAATACTTTGTTGGAACATTACACACTGACTCCAGACAGGAGTCATGTCAGATTCACGTAACGTTAGCTAACTGTTCTGATTATGTACCCTTTGGATGATTGCTGCTGAAATTTTTTCCGCTGAATCGAGCTAACACCATTGTGGGTATTCATTGAGCATCGTTACAATAATAACAACTTGCACTTATATAGTGCCGTCCACTCAGGGTAGCGGCTCAGAGCTATATATATATAATGTATATCAGAATACAACCATTGTATTCTGCACCGAAAAGACCTTTCACATTCAGACTGGCTCACAGCTTCCATCACCGGAGACCTTGAAATCACTTCTGTTCAATCACCTGGGTCTCTGAGCTCAAATTGCTAAAACCCTTTGTTAATGGGATAAATTCTATTTCCTTTCATTGTGTTCCAGTGCCCGTCAATGCAACATTATACTTCAGGGCGAAACCCGTACAAAGAGAGTGAATTGATGGCTGGCAAATTACTCATCATGTTTCTGTTTCATGCTAAAAGTCAGAGGAAAGTGTGAAATAAGCGCACCTGGTGTAAATAATTACAGGCCTGAAAGGGAAGAAGGTGTGTGCGTGCAAGGTGACGGGGAACACTGAATGCCAGACTAATTGTTCCTCAGAAGGAAAGAAATCCTGCTGCTGACGAGTTTGAGATCGGCTCGATTAATGCAATCTTTCTGCCAGTTTTGTTTAGCCATGTCACGGTCTGTTTCCTTTAGTAAAGCCATTAAGTCTGACTAATGCAACTGCTCAGCAGTTAGCCCCGTCTTCCCTGGGGCTGAGGATATAATGTCAGTGGGCCGCGATCCAATTCACTCTGAGCTGGATACATTAAATCTTTTTACTGCAGGTCTTGTCAGGCTGGAGACATCCTCTACTATCAACTGCTCTGAAAACCCCAGCCCATAAAAGCAATTTCATGTGCTCATTGATACAGAATGGATTGTTGCTGAGCCTCCAGCGTGTGTTCTCAAGGTCAAACCACTGATAGTTTTTAATGTAAAAAAAATTGGCTTGTATCAAAAAATATGACCCTTTTTTTTGCCTAAAAAAAATAATGTGAAAATAAATCTTTTTCGTGTGTGTGTGTGTGTGTGTGTACGTGTGTGTTAGCTGGTGTTATGTCACATTGCAGCCTCGGGTTTGTTTGTAGCACTGACCGCCAAGATTTATCACTTGTTCATAGCTACACGATAATAATAATTTAAACAAACAGGAGCAAGCTACAGATACTATCAGGTTATATTGTTGGCGTATAGGGATTTGTATCTCCTGCATTGAGGCTATGTTAGCAGCTATGAGAGTAGCTGGCCCTGCCCTCACCACATTAGTTGGTTCAGGTCAGCAGAAGAAAACACAAAAAAATGGGAGTTCGAAAACTCTATGGATTTCTGTTTGGTTTGGAGACTCAAACATGGCGATGGGTTTCCCCATGTGTCAGACCCACACACAAAAAAAGAAAAAAACCATCCCAAACAGGAACCACGATACCAGCAAATATTTTTCTTTCTAAATGCTCCCTACTTGAGTTAAGTGTGAGCTGTTTTGGGGGCATTTGATCCATGCAAAAAAAAAAAAATTGCCACTAGAACTACCGAGACCTTTTCCAAATTAGAACTTTTCCGCTGCATCGTTAAGAGACAGAACGACAATAATATCGCCTCTTTCATGCCAGAAAGACGCCTCGAAGCACTTCAGGGCTGACAGAGAGCTCAAGTTTGCGGCCGTGGTGGGGGGTGGAAATGGGAGAAAATGGAAAGCGCTGAAGAAAAAGTAAGTCTTAAGGTGAGTTTTGAAGGGAGGGAGGGTGATGGAAAGAACTAGTATGGAGGGCCGGAGAACAGGGGAAAAAAGTGCTCAAAAGTTCACCCACCACAATGGTAGGGTGGAACGGATGGTCAGATGGTGGGACGTGAAGCAGGCTAGTGTTTCTGAGGGGAGTGCAGTGGTTATTGGAGACAGCAGAAATATGGTAGTTTGGGATGAGGTCATAGAACAATTTGAAAGTCATTTGAAGACCAACATCCTTATAGGCTTCGTCCCATCAACAAGTCCCTGTCAGTCTTACATTCGAAATGCTCATTGAGTCTTATTCTGCCCCCGGAAATGTGGTGGAAAAGGATTACCAAAATTACTGTAAAAATTTAATGACCTTTCAAATGTGAGGAATGCTAATTGATTTTGATCTGCCAAACAAAGCAAAAATGGAACACAACTGAACTGTAACCGTAAAGATTTGATCCTGAGCTGCATTTTGCAATGGGAAAAAAATCTCCATGTGGCATCTCCAATGACATCTTTCGCTGCTACATACATACAGATCTGCTCACAAAATGGTTTAGAAAATTGTTGTTCAATGTACAGTATTTTTTTTTAAAATCTGTTTTATTCTACTGGCTCTGGCCATTCATTTGACTATTCCATTGACTCACTCCTCTGGGCTTTCTTTATACGACATGAAATGGCAACTTTACCATAGAGCAAATTAACGTACATTTGTGATTGAGTTCACAAAAACATGGTGAAGGCAGGAAGCAGGTGGACTGAGTGATGCAACCACCAAAGAAGGAAAAGCAGAAAAGTGTTGATCAGCGTCACCTTGAAAGGTCAAAAACATGCATGAGTTTTCTTTTCAAGGTAGATCAGCAATTTAAATTGGGAGCTCATTGCCAGTAAAGAAAGAAAAGTAATTTGGTCACTCAATCCACGACTGGGACACTGCTGTGCTTCACCCACAAAATATACAGTTAATTCACTTTACAGTATATTCTGTGAAGCGCTTAGAGACGTCTCGAAGATGTAATACGGCGCTATATCAAATGCAAGGATTATTATCTGTTCTGCGATATTGGGCAGTGACAGTTTAAAATAATTTCTGATGAGATGATGTCCGAAATCATACATGTGATGTGCCAGTTAAATGTCTCAGCTGATGATACAGTATCTTGTTTGCTTTGGATAAAAATGATAATGAACTATTTCTGCTTAACTATGAGACATAGAGTGTTGAGCAAGTTTTTTTTAAAAAGAAAGGGCAGGTTTCTTGCACCCTGCCTTAGCTAGAGTTTCTTGTGAGAAATGAAATCTGCCAGAATTCAGTCCTTCATTAAATTTTCACCTCATTCTCCGCTCGCATTCCACTCAAAAGAGAACGCATTTATGCAAGATGATTGTTGCAGATGCATTCCTGTAAAAGATGGTAGCTGGATTGTGCAGCACAAAAATGTTCCATTGAATAATTGATTTAAATGAACCTCTAACCATCAAACTTGATGAATGGGCAAAACCTATTGTTAGAATTGATTTTTATATCTTTTCTTGTCAGCCAATGGACTTTTTAAACTTGGAATCGAATTAAAATTTAACAAGAGGAGCTTTGAATATATTTTCCATGACCTACTGTAATTTGCCAGGCAAACCTTGTTTTCTGCAAGTGTGCAATCGCACATAACCTTCACATTGATAAAGACAAAGGGAAGGCAGAATTCCTTTTCACAGTGTTTTCAAGTGGCTCGAGGGACAAAGGAGTTACTTGGGTGGTCCAATTGCACACAACTTTTTACACAGAACAGGTACCAAAGGACACATTGTTCACATTTAGTCAGTAAATGGCCTGAATCACACAGGTTTTACAATTAGCCCTTGTTGCTTATTTAGCCTTTTCTGCGGTGCAAAACCATAAATATGAACCCCTGAGAGCGGGAGCAATTTTTGAAAAAAAATAAAACAAAGTAAACATTTACGTGTTGGAAATGAGGAAGATCGCTCAAGACTGCTCCTTTTTTTAAATAACACGATAATAATAACTGAAATATCTGGTTTTATCTAACTGAAACGAGCCAAGGATTGTTTTATCTAAAAACATTATTAAAAAATGTTGAAACAATGAAAACCATTGACATTTTTACACATTCCAAGGTAAAATAGTTTACGCTTGATAAGTTGCTGCTTTCAGCATTGTAGCTTAATGCCTGTGAGATGTATAAACCAAGAATATTGTGCAGAAATAAATTTGCTTCCAGTTCACAAAGCAAATAACGTGTGCTGAATCTGCTGAATATGTTTCATTGGATGGTCAGTACATCTATTTGTATTTACATGATACCTGCAAGGGAAAAAGTGGGATTCTTTTGAGGAGGGAAAAGTTTTATGAGATTCAACACCGATATGAATGTTTAATCATTGACTAG